TCCCTGCTAAAAGGGGTTGCTGAGTTTTTTTGTAAGGATTTGCTTTGTTGGTTTCTTGCCCGTGAACCTCTCAAAGAGGTTAGAGGATTTTGTTAATCATAAAGAAAAATAGAAAGCAACAAATATATTTTGCAAAGTGTAAACGGTGAGATTGTCCTGAAATTCGAGTCTGAACAGTTTCAGGAAGGAGGCAGCCTTCCTTTCGCAGCTCTTGTAATAAGTGATTTGAGTGTATTCAGTGGGAGCCTCCCTGGGCGTCTTAGCAGCTGAGTAAAAACAATTCAGGAAGTCTTTTTCATATGCAGGAAGGCTTTTTTTTTAAACCTTCAAACACATTTATGTCTCCAAGGAACTCAGATCAGGGCTCCTGTGTTCTTTTCCCTTCCTGTTGCAGCGTTACAACCCTTGTAGATTTGGACGTGGCTGTGGGCCCAAAAAGGGGGTTCTTTTTCCTAAAAACATTCACAAATTTAAGAAAAGCATAAAAATCAATGAACCAGACTAAACCACAACAAACAGTACTTCTATCATCCTAAATAAGTCTAATCATCAAAACCCAAGTTAAAATTTAGTTTCTTTCCAAACAGAAAAGAAGCTAGACAGTCTTCTCTTTAACCAAAGCAGTCAACCAACAAAGCTTCAGCTTGACTGAGCTGAATTAGAACCTGGGTCTTGCAATGCCGTCGCCCAAGCCGGCAGCCCCTCCCCCCAATTGAAAAAGAGCATCCATTGAAAAGATGCAAGTAATGTGTTGAGCCCTTTAAAAACTCCCTTCTTTCCTGCAAAATAGCAGGATCTCATGATCCTGAGATCATTCAAAGACCGGGATTTGAATTTACCAAGGCAAGTAAGTCTCCCTCTGGATTTAGTTTGGGGCCAGAGAGGTTTTCTGTTTTGTTTCCTAATTTTGCAGGGGAGTGGGGAAGCTGCCGAGAGTCCCTTGAAGTCTGAGTCACTGGCAGTTTTTGCTCATCAAGAGGGATGTGGGACAATGCTGTGCCTCCCCTTCACTACTGTTGCCATTATCCAGTTAATTAACCTAGCCAAGAGAGCTGAGATGGGAAGGTTCCTGCACAAGGCAACGGGGATGGGCTGACCTAGAAAACGCTCTTGCAGAAGTGACTTTAAGCCCCACTCAGTGCAAGGAAGGAAGAAGGGCTGATCGGTCGGGTCTCTGAGACTTTCAGTTTCCAAATTGCCATCATATTTCATTCTCTTGCGCAGAAGGACTGTGTAATAGCCACCTACTTTTAAAGCGCAGCAACCCCTTGGGTGAAGGGAACCTGGAACAGGCACGCTCTTGGGAGTCCCCACCCCACCCCACCCCACTTCAAGGCAAGGAAGCAGCTCTTTGAAGTTGGCCCCTTCTGCCTCTCGGTGGGGTGCAGGGTGGCCCCCTGGGTCTTGGCCAGTGGCTAAGAAGCAGCATCCTGTTCTGTAAAGATGCAGGAGAGTTCATTAAGAAGATAGCAACAGAGTTTATTTAAAAAGAAAGGAAAAAAAAAACAATCCACACATGTTAAGCTAGCAAGTGTACAACTAGGATGCAATCAAACCTGAGAACAAAATCCTTAGATGGGGGATTCAGTTACAAACCTTGTCAAATTAGGGCTGGCCTAATTTTTAAATTTTTTAAATTTTTTAATTTTAATCTGAATTTTAATGGGGTATTTAAACTGTTGGGCCAAATTATTTAATTTATTTTAAATTGCTTTTAAATTTTGTATTTTGTGTTTTTATTTTTGGCTGTTCACCGCTGTGAGTCCTTCGGGAGAAGGGCGGTATATAAATTTATAAATAAATAAATAAATAAATAAATAAATAAATAAATAAATAAAGAAAGAAAGAAAGAAAGAAAGAAAGAAAGAAAGAAAGAAAGAGCTGAGATGGCGCAGTGGTTAGAGTGCAGTACTGCAGCTACTTCAGCTGACTGCTAGTTCAGCAGATCAGAGGATCAAATCTCACCAGCTCAAGGTTGACTCAGCCTTCCATCCTTCCGAGGTGGGTAAAATGAGGACCCAGATTGTTGGGGGCAATATGCTATTTAGTATACTGTCTTTGGTGTAAGCCACCCAGAGTCCTCGGAGAATGGGCGGCATAGAAATATGAATAATAATAATCATAATTTCCTAGCCTGATTTTCTTACCAGGAATGGTCAAATGCTGACAAGCAGGATGCGAAGGGCACCTCTGCTGCTCCTGGGTGTGCCTGGTCAGGCTCCGTTCAGCCCTCCCTGCAGCTGGCGGAGGGTCGGGCCCCGAGCCAGCAAGTTCTGGTCCCAGCCATTGTCCTAAACTGGGCCGAAGGGCTGATTCAATGGAAGCTTTTGTTGCCAAATTGTGTTGTTTCCCTTCTCTTCCAACGCAGTGGTGGCCTTCTGGGCAGGCCGCACTGTCAGAAGGGCTGGGAGGTTCTTAGGAAGTCAGATTCTGAGCTACACTCTGATCCAGAGACCAGCCTTGGCCCCCACTAGGTTCTCCCCGCCCCACCTCCCTCCAAAGGAGACAGGAGTGATCTATGGTATTGTTTTCCAGAGATAAGCGGGAACAGAAGATCTATTAGTGGCTGGAAGGCAGAGCCAAGATTAGACCCTGCAAGGCTAGCTTAATTATCCCTGGCAAGAGAAACACACAGCATTTTATCAGTGAAGCCGGGGAAGGAAAGGCGAGGGAGGGACCCTCAACCAGCAAGTGTGGGGTGAGTGGGTTTCCAGTTGCTCCCTTGGCTTGCCTGGGGGACTGACACGTCTCTTGCCGGCTAGCCGATGATTGTTCTGACCTTTGCCTTCACCTTGTCTGCCTTGCTTTGCCACTTGGCCAGGCTTCCCAACTATTCTGTGCACGCTTGCATATCCAGGCAGGTAAAGTCAGCACTTGATCGATTCCTGGAGGATGAGCCATCACAAGCTATTAGCTGGGGGGGGGGGAGACGGAGCCTCTGTGGTTGAGGGCAGCCTGCCCAGGAGAGGCCGGAGGAAAAGGGCCTCTGGTGGGTTCCTGGGAGTCCTCCTGCTGGCTCCCTATAGGGACAGGGTAGATGGGACCCAGGGGCTGGCTTGGAATTGGGGCGGCTGAGCCAGGCCCATCCGCTGGGCAACACAGCTTTGAAAGGCTGGGGTCCTGCCCCTAAATAAGGCTCCAATTTAAAACACAGGGCCAAGCAAGAATGCCAGCGCTGCTGCCCACCGGGCCAAACCATGATGCAGAGGGGCATCCACTCGCTGGCCCAAGGGAGGGGGCACCTGGCGGGAAGCCTTGGCTGAGTGGGAAAGAATATTGTGGGTGGGTGGGGGATGGATAACAAAGAGTGCAAAGGTTCCTCCCCCCCCCACATGTTTGTAATTGAAGTGTTTGGGAAGGCTCATGAATCCCCCTTTTGTCTTGTGGGATGCTGTTCCAGCCAGCCTAACGGGGGTTGGGGGCTCCTCCAGCGCTCAGAGCAAGAGAGGGCTCTGCTCCTCTGTTCACTTTCCCAGCCGGGCAAAGTCACCCTCCTCCCCCAAGGGATCTAGGGATCTCTGCCCATCTGGCAGGAACCTTGCCCCTCGCCCTTTAGGAGCCAAGCTGGCCCTGCAAGGCTCAGAGGCAGCGAAAAGGGAATCTGGCTCCTGATCGCTTCCATTTCTGCCTCCTTGAGCTGGAATTTGTTTCAAGGCTCCTCCAGCCCCCCCCCCGCCCCCCCACCCTCACACCTAGTGAGAAATTGGTCAGTTTTTTAGAGGCTGTTATTCTAAACAATAACATTCGCTTTTCAGAATGGTCACACAAAGGAAGGGGATTATTTTTATCACCACAGGGGGAAACCTCTTTGTGTTCAGGTATACTTTTCCCCCCGCCCCTTTCTCAGAAATAAGATCATAGGAACTCTGCCCCCCTCCCACCTTAATCTCTTTTAAATGCACTTAGCAAAGGACTCTCTGAGGGTTGCGATTTTTAGCAGGCAAAGTGTGGCAGTTTAGCTGTAATTACTTCCACTTCCCACAGAGTCATTGCATGGCGCCCCCTGCTGGCAGTTAGAGAAAGGCTTGGCAGCGTTGCCCCTCGCTGAGCATGAAAGGCAGCACTAGAGAAAAGGGAAGCGGGGAGGCCCCCCCCTCTTTCCAGGGGCGTTTGGTTAAAATGATAGGCCTTAACTTAAAGACAAGGCCGGGAGGGGTGAAGATGCCACCTGTCCTCTTGTGGTAGGCCCTGGCCTTTCTGCAGAAGCCTCTCTGAGGACCCCCCCCCCGCACAAAGGACCCTCTGCACCTGGGGGAGGGCCTAAGGGAGGAGGGCCACGGGACCAAACTGCCAGCTGTGATTTTACTTTTAACCAGTGATGTTTGGTGCGGGGAGGGATGCACACCTTGCCTCACTCTCCTGAGCTATCAAACTAGTACTGTTCTTTCTAGAAGTTTCTGTCCTTTGCAGCAGCTGTTGCGGGGATCCCGGCCTTCCCGGGAGCAACCAGCTCAGCTCAGCTCTGGGCTCAAACGTCTCCTTGTGCCTCCACCACCTCCTCTTCTTTCCGTAGCCAGCGTCTCTTGCCTCAAGGGCTGCTTGTCCCCAGATAAATCAGGATTTCATAGCAATTAATCTCTGGGCTCCCACGGCAGTGATCAGACGGCTGTGGACAGGTTTCATTAAGAGCCCGCTCTCTGTAATCAGGAACACCTCGCTGGCTTTCTGCAAAGGGGGGTGGGGGGTGGCATGTGACTGTAACTGAGCTGCTTTCCCCCTCCAACTCTCTCCCAATTATAAGGTAGCAGGTTCATGGAAACTGCCCATGGACTCTCTTTGCCCATAACCTTGTGTTTTTTACAAGAGCCAAGACCACCTGTTTCAAATCTTCCACCTGGACCTGGTGGGGCCCCTCTGCCAATGCTCTGGAGCCAGAACCGGCCCTGCCTGGAACCCCTTAGATGCCCACAGGAGCCCAGTGTGTCTCTCCCCCCCCCCCAAGTCTTCTGGTGCAGATTTATCTCCAGTTGACAGAATGGCTCCTTTTCTCCCCTTTTCAGCTCCAGGCATAAACTCTGCGGGGAAGCCCACCAGCTCATTTTCCCACCGTGAGGAGCTCACAAGCAGCACCTTTCTCAGGAGGAAGACTGGGCCCTCCAGATACCCCACCCCGGAGAGTCTGAAGCAAATGCCAGAAGAGTCCCTGGATGCTCTGGCTCCCAAGCTGGCCTTGCCCTCAAAGGGGGCCTCCTTGGGGCCCACCGCACGACCAACCCCTCCTGCCAGGAAGAAGCAGGAGAACCAGCGGCTGAAGCTGGCCACCAACCCCAGGCCCTTTGTGGAGAGCCGGCAGCCCCCGGAGGATTTGGGGGAAGGGCTCCCCGCATCTCTGGATGAGAAGCCCACCATGCCTGTGGGGGACGGCAGGGAAAGCAGCCTCGCTGTGACCAGCCATTCTTCGTTCCAGATCTCTCCTTTCACAGTTCTGCCAGCGACCCAGGGTCCTAGTACTTCTCCTCGAGGGGTGACCGAGACCCTTGAAAAGGAAGCCGTGATCCTGCCCAATAGCCCACCCGAGAGTGCCGAGGATGAGGTTGTGAAGGGGGGATCTTCCTCTAGGGAAGAGGGCCAAGAAGCGACTTCTGCCATCGTGAGCCCCCCAGAACAGCTGCCGAGTAAGTGATCTCTGCCCCGCCTGAGCCAGCTGTCTCCCCATTGCTGCCCCTGCCTTCTGCCTGGTCTTTTGTTTCTCCATCCACTCTGCTCATGGGAAGGGTTGGGGGGGGTCATGGATGCACCTTCCAATGCATTTTGCCGGAGCCCTTTCCCTTGGTCTGCCCGCCTCCTCCGAGACGTGGGCTCCCAGCCCAGGACTCCCCAGCACCCAGTAAGGCTCCCTCCAGGCCTGCTGGGGGGCTGATCCTGGCTGCTCTCAGTTGCTCTGCAAGAGGCCAGATGAGAGAGCTTTCGGCTGGCCTCCCTTCCAGGTCTCTGCAGCATGAATTTCTCTGAACCGGAGGGCTACATCGACTCAGCCGAGGCTCCGCTGGTGTCCCAGAACGACTTCCTGGAGTGCACCTTCCGTGTGACAGTGTACACCGGATATGGTGTGGAGCTGCAGGTAGGAAGGGCTGCTGGAGGGCTGGCATGAGAGGGGGCTGCTGAACTGGGTGAGCCTTCCCTTTTGAGCACACCTAGCTATTACGGCTAATGAGGGCACCCTGGCCATGGGCTGCCTCCCTGGGCACCTGACTTCCCACCCAGTTGCAAAATGTAGCCTTGAAATGGGACCCAGAGAAATTGCGGCTCAATCTGGAGCCTTCCGGAGGGTCTTACATCCTCCCTCCTCTGCTGCTCATCCTGGGAGTTGTAGTCCTCCACCACATCCAGAGGGAAGCAGGGTTGGGCGAGCCTGCTCCAAGGGAAATACCTCTCCAGTTACATTCCTATGAGGCACCCAAAGACTAATGGGCAGACTCCCTCGTGCCAGCTATGACCCCGAGGGCGTTTTTCTCCCCACCCACGTGGTTCATCATCCAGAACAGATTCCTGATGCTGTGTGGGGTCTCTATCTTTGCTCTTTTTTGCTTGACTGTCAGGCCTGGAGAGCTGGGGCTGCTGCAATTTCTGGGGCTGCTAAAGCAGGACATTTCAGGCGGCACAAATGCCAGCCTGAGCAGGAGCAAAGTTTTCAGAGGCTGCTATGCAGAGCAGGAAAATCCTTCAGGTGAAGGAAAGAACCATGGAGCTCATTCAAAAGAAAAGGGAACCTGCCCCGCCCCCACCCATCCCCCATCCCCCCTCTCCCTCCAACCCTCTCCCCCCACCCCGGACTTCCCAGAGCAAATACAGGGTGTAACATTTAACGAGCATAAACTAAAATATGCTAACTTTCTGTAGGCTCTTAATTCCCTCTTGCTCTTTAACTCCCCTTTCAACTAACACCCCGCCCCGTCTATTGGCTCCCAGACCCTTCGTTTGGCTGCTCCACCCCAGGGGGTCAGGCGCCTCAGTTCAGGGCATAATTATACATCCACCTGGTGGAAATCCTTTTCCCCCCTGAGTCAGGCAGCTCTGGAATTTTGGATTCCTCTCATCTGACGGGTCTCTTCCCAATTGCAGGTGAAGAGCGTGAACCTGTCCGAGGGGGAAGTGCTGGCCATTCGCGGGGAGGACGACGGCCACTTGGTCACACTGGCCAACCAGACCCTCCTGGTAGAAGGCCAGGTCATCCGCAGCCCCACCAACACCATCTCGGTCCTCTTCCGAGCCTTCCCGGATGGCCTTGGGACTTTCCAGCTGCATTATCAAAGTAAGCTGGTTGGGACAGCCCCCTCCCCATCCAACCCCCCCCCTCAAAGCTTCCTTGCAGGCCTTCCTTTTCAAAAGCAGGAGCTTGTTCGCTGCCTCTGCCTCCTGCCAAGGCTCAGAGGGTTCTAAAGAAGGCCTGAGATGCCCCACCAGACATGGCCCCACCTTCTCTGGAAGAAATGGGGCTGCCCCACAGCTGAGCCTTTCACAGGGGATGACCAGTCCCTCCGGCCTGGATAAGGGCTGTCGGCTCAGGCGAAGTTTAGGGACTCTGCAGCCAAAGGAAAGGGACTTTGTGCTTATTTGAGGGGCTTCAGCCCATCATTCTTGCTGGCCTGTTTCCCAGACAGGAATTCACCTCCATGCACCTGCCTGTCATTTCTTCCTGGAACAAAAGGTGCAGGTGTGTTTAGGGAGAGGCCGAAAGGGAAGCGGGCGTCCTTTGCGCTTGCAGAGAGGGCAAAATGGCTTAAAAGCCTTTCAGTGCAGATGGTGCCCTGTGGCACAGAGGGCAAGGGCTGAGGTGGCATGTGGGGCTGTGGGAAGGGAGGGGGCTGCGGGCAAGATTTCCAGGAAGCCCTGGGGGGTGTTCAGAGGAGAGCCATCCTAGGTGGAAGAATCCTGGTGAAATCTCTGGGTTGGGGTGGTGGGGGGGCCATTCTCGGCTCAATGCAGCCTCTCTGGTCCGGCTCCCCTCCTCATCATGCAGAAGACCTCCAGGGCTTCCAGAATCCAGAGAGTCGGTTGGCAGCATTCCTCCGTTCCGTGCTGCTTGGCAAACGCTCCCCCGCCTGTCATTTTAATGTCATCTGCGCACTTTTCCCAACAGTATTTATGCTGAGCTGCAGCTTCCCACGGAGGCCCAATTTCGGGGAGGTGGCCGTCATGGGCCTGCACTCGGGGGGCCTGGCTCATTTTAACTGCCACCTGGGCTACGAGCTGGAGGGGCCCCAGAGCCTGACCTGCCTCAATGCTTCCAAGCCGCACTGGAGCGCCCTGGAACCTATCTGCTCAGGTATGGGGGATGGGTGGGCAGTGGTGGCCAGAGGCAGGCAGGCCACGCCTTGACCAACTGCCCCCCCTTGTCTCTGCTTTCAGCCCCCTGCGGAGGCACCGTGCGCAATGCCACCATTGGCCGCATCTTGGCACCAACCTCTCCGAGGAGCCCCTCGGGCAGTGTGGCTTGTGTGTGGATGGTCAGCGCCCCTGAGGGGCAGAAGCTCCACCTGCACTTTGAGAGGCTGGTCCTGGGGGGCAAACAACGGTGAGGTTGTGGGGTGAGAAAAGGCTGGGCTGACGTTCTCTGAGAAGCAACAACAGCGGCAGCACAAAATGTCTGCCATGATTTCTAACATTAAGCTGGGTGCTTCCAAAATCAAATCCTGGTGCTGTTTTCCACCAGCTTGCGCATTAGCTGTCCAAAAATAAGGATCCTTCTCCAAAACACATCTGGAGCATTTGGCTCCCCAGCACTGAAGTGGCAGGTGCTGATGTCCAAAGGAGCAGCTTTTCTAAAAATAAAAATAAAAATAAAAACGAGGAACTGGTAGACAGACAATAAAACAACTTTATGAGCTGTGCTGAGATTCCAGAGTAAAACATCCGTTTATGACCCCAGAAAACGTGGCAGTTTCTCTGGCATGCCTTGGCAGACTTTGCCCCTCTTGTACTTGAAGTTCCTATAATGTGACCCCAGGAACCGTAGAGCAGATTCAGAGGTGGAAAGAAAAATGAGTTCCCTCCCAGCTGGACTGGGTGCAAGGGCAGTGAGGTGACGCCGAGGACCATCCCCCCCCCCGACCTTGATCTTGTTGTCCTTGTGCTCCAGAATGGTGGTCTACGGCGGAGAATCGAACCGCTCAGCTGTGCTCTACGATTCTCAGCAGGGCAGCAACGTGCCCTTCGAAGGAGTCATCAGTGAAGGAAACGCCTTGCGTGTTGACTTCACCTCGGACGACCCCGACGGAGAGCCCACCTTCAACATTCGATTCGAAGGTGATGCGCCTCATCCTACTTCTCAAACTGGTCAGACGGGGGTGGGGGGGAGGGAGCCGGAGGGGATTTTTCCCTCTCGCTGCTGAAGGTGCCAAATTAAGGCAAGGGCAGGGGTGCAAACCTCCCTGTTCCAAAAGGGGCAGGTCAAGGCCCCAGAGGGCTGCTTGCAGTGGGGCCAACCCTCCCACCTTGGGGCTGGGGATCAGGACCAACTGGAGGCTGCCCATTGGGTGAAGGTACCAAGGAAGCCGGACTCTCTCTGCAATGCTTGGCAGACTGACCTCTCCAGAGGTCTCCTGGTGGGTGAGGTGATCCTCGAATTCCTCCAAAGGCTGGATCAGCCCCCTCCTCTTCTCAGTCCCTCTGCCTGGCATGGAGGGGGGGGCAGCTCAGCCTCCCTCCCATCATCTGGAGGGAATCTAGCAGAGAGGAACACCGAGAACTCCCAGCTGCTTTGGAGCTTCTCAGAAACAGGAGCAAAATGTCTGGAGGAAAATCAGGTTGCTGCAGATGACATGAAGGAACCCTTGGCCAAGGCACTCTCTTATCTCTCAAGTGTGGAGTGCTAATTTTCTGGCCTTTATTGCTTCTGATGATTACTTACTGCATCATCATTATTGCTCCATCCTCCTTTTTCATCTTTCTCTCCACTTAAAATTCTGCCACGGTGAACATAATTTGATTTTGCGCTGTCTGCAGGCTGCGTCTCCACACCCAATCCAGCCTGCAGCCCCCATTCTCTTCCCCAGATCCTCTGCTCTTTCCCTGCCTGCCTCAGGAACCCTCTGCCACTCAGGCATGCCCAGGGCTCTGCCGGCACCCACTTGGTGCCCTGCAGGACCCTTTGGCAGCAACCAGCACCTTGGAGAGCTCCTGGAGCCCCGCAAGTCCAGGGAAGCGCAACAAGTCCTGAGCTGAATGGGGCAGGTTGGCTCAATTTCCTGGATCAGATCAGGGTTGAAAGATAAAATGGTCGGCTGCACATGAGCAAAAAAAGCTGAACCCAAACAGTGAATAAAATGGACAGTTTAATTCAACTGATGGAATCAAAACACAAATTGAATCCTTCTAATTTCCCAGCAAAAATTAGTTTCAGTTCAGACCCCTCTGCAAAATATTTGCCCCCAGCCTCAGGCTGCTTCCTGGCTGCACTTGGCCCATTCCTTGCACCAAAAGGACCCATTGGGTGGAGAGCCGCAAGGCCTGCCTGCAGAAGGGGGTGCTGGGGGTTCTGTCTGTGCCAGTCCTGCCCTTCTGTGTCCCCTCCCCAGCCTTTGAGAAGGGCCACTGCTACGAGCCCCACCTGCAGAATGGCAACTTCACCACCTCTGATGCCACCTACAACCTTGGAGCAATCGTGGAGTTCACCTGCGACCCCGGCCACAGCCTGGAGCAGGGGCCCGCGGTCATTGAGTGCATCAACCTCAGGGACCCCTACTGGAACGACACGGAGCCCTTGTGCCAAGGTGGGTCATGTCCGAGCAGGGGGTGCCTTGAGGGGGGGCTGTGGTTGGGGCACCCTGACTCTTGGCCTTGCAGCCACCTGCGGAGGAGAGCTCTCCACGGCGGCTGGAGTCATCCTGTCCCCCAACTGGCCAGAGCCCTATGCGGAGGGCGAGGACTGCATCTGGAAGGTTCACGTGGAGGAGGAGAAGCGAATCTTCCTGGACATCCAGCTGTGAGTATTTCCCCCAGCTGGGGGGGGATTTCATGCATCTGTACTCAACATTGGGGAGGGACAGTCTGCACTTCCAAAAGGCTGTTGTGGGGGGGGGGTGCTGCCTGCTTGCAGAGTGAAAGTGGGGCTGTGTCAAGGTTGGGGGAGGAACACAGGCAGATCTGCTTGGTGGTTTCCCTTGACTGGAGTTGCCTGTAAGCCACAGCCACCGATCTGGCCACCTCTCCCACAAAGGCATCCCGTCACACAAAAGGCAATCTCTGGATTTGCAGCCCCTGGGAGCACAAGCTCTTCCTGTCTCTTGCGTCACACACACATAACACACACAGACCTCACAGCCAATTAAAGCCTCACTTGGGACTTGCGATTCCTCCCTGCAGAAACCTCTGTGTGGCTCTTGATAATCCAGTTTGAATGACAGACCCTTTGATCGTGCTTTTCCCCCCACCTATGGCAGCACAGAGTGTTGGAGGAAAAGTCTGCCAGAACTGCTTTCTTCTCTCTAGCAACGCAGCATCCCTGATCTTTTGGGGACGTTTCCCTTGTTTTCCCCTGCTCTGGATTAAGATGGATCCAAGCAGATGGATGGGCCCATGGCCTCTGCTGAAGAGAAGGGGCTGCTCTTTAGAAGGGAACAACACTGTCCCGTCACCCTGGGGTGGTAAAGGTTTTGCTTTCCAAGATGCTTTGGCAGAGCAGCCCATCCCCTCCTTGCACCACCACCCCCATCCCTGTGCTGCTGCTCAGAATCTGCCAGCCTCGGCTGACCTTGGAGTGTCCAGGAAGAGGAGAAGTGACCAGGAGCACCAATGGCAGTCCAGCAGGCTCCGTGCTCCCCAACCCTAACCACTCCTTGGCTCAGAAAAGCCTAATGCAGTTAAAGAAATGGGGGTGGGGGAGGCTTTCTTTAGTCAGCTGGCAACCCCAAGTTTCTTCCTGGGGTTACCAGGTGACTAAAGAAAGCCCCCCCCCTTCAATTTCTCACACACAAGTCTCAAGTAAATATTGGCATTCCTGGGCTAGCAGCTCCCTCTGCTGGCCAGCAAAAGCATCACGGAATTGACAGCAGCAGGCAGCGTGGCAATCCAAAGTAAAACGTTTTCTGCTCACTTGGAGCTCAGGGCACCAATCTGGGCTGTGGATAATGGGTTCGGCCAAGGAAAGACTGCAGCCGGCAGCTATTGTGCTTACAGCATCCAAGAACCCTCCTATCCAGGAACAGTCTATCTGTCGGTGGCAAGAGCGGGAAAGGGTGCCGCCATCTTGATTATAAGCTTCTCAGGGAGTCCTGGTAACCGGGGCCAGCTGCCTCCACCCCTTCTCTCTAGCCAGGGCTCCTCTGGAGGGAAGGGAGAGAAGTTGCTGGCAGCTGCTAATCCCAGGAGATCCCCGCAGATCTCAGCAGGGGCTCCCTGAGCTACTTGCAGAGGCCCTGATGACCCAGCAAGGCCCTTCCCGCTCCCCTCTTCTCTCCCTGCAGCTTGAACCTGAGCCAGAGTGACATCCTCACGGTCTATGATGGGGATGACCTCAACAGCCACATCCTGGGCCAGTTCCTGGGCAGCAGCGGGCCCCAGAAGCTCTACTCCTCCACGCCCGATTTGACCATCCAGTTCCACTCGGACCCGGCCGGCCTCATCTTCGGGAAGGGGCAGGGCTTCACCATGAGCTACATCGGTGGGTGAGCCTGGGCTTCCTTGGGGTCCCCCACCTTTTGGCCAGGAAGCCAGGCCTCTGGGCACCCTTCCTGTTGTCACCAGGGCCTTTTCTGGCTGCAGAAGCCTCGCGGAACGAGTCCTGCTCAGACCTGCCAGAAATCCAGAATGGCTGGAAGACCACTTCTCACACTGAGCTGGTTCGGGAGGCCAAAATTACCTACCAGTGTGACCCAGGCTACGATATTGTTGGCAGCGACACCCTCACCTGCCAGTGGGACCTCACCTGGAGCAGCGACCCCCCTTTCTGCGAGAAAAGTATGGCCTTGTCCAGATTTAATTCCCTCTGTGGCTGTGAGTTGCACTGAAGACACCCTGGTCGTCTTCCTGCTCTGCTCCTGCAACGTTAACCAGAGTTTCGGGCAGGGAAATCCAGTTTTTCAGCCATTCTTTCTGCTGTTACAGCCACAGGAGCCCAGCTGGAGAATGGATTGGCAATCCCAGGCTGTAGAGGGTAACGGAGGGAGAAGAAGGGCAGGCTGTCTTTAAGTCCTGTGGTAGCCGTAAATGGGGAGTCAGTCACTCTGAAACACACACACAAACCACACATACACAATGGGCTGTGCTTGCAAAGAGCCATTTTTAAAGACGCAGGAGAGGCAGCTGCTTTGACCTGGTTTTATGGGGAGGGTCAGGACTGTACCTTGAGGCCAATGCAGAAGGGGGGGAGGTGCCGGACGGTCTGGCCTGAGCCTGTCGGGGTGCTCCAGCCTGGCCTCCTGCTTTTCGCCCTAGTCATGTACTGCACGGACCCCGGAGAGGTGGAACACTCGACCCGCTTAATTTCGGACCCGGTGCTCCTGGTTGGCACCACCATCCAGTACACCTGCAACCTGGGCTTTGTGCTTGAGGGGAGCTCCCTTCTCACCTGCTACAGTCGGGAGACAGGAACCCCCATCTGGACCTCGAGGCTGCCCCGCTGCGTGCGTAAGTCTGGAGCTTGTCTAGCAATGGCGTGCTTCTCCCGTGTCTGCTGCCCAGGACGCACTCACTTGTTTGCGGGCATGCAAGAAGGAACTGGATAAGGGTAGAGGAGGGTCCTCGGGAGTTGCATGGAATAGGTCCCCCCTGGGCTGGCCTCCTTGCTAACCCACTCCCCGATTCCCTCCATGCAGCAGAGGAATCCCTGGCCTGCGACAACCCAGGTCTCCCCGAAAACGGGTACCAGATCCTCTACAAACGCCTGTACTTGCCGGGCGAGTCGCTGACCTTCATGTGCTACGAAGGCTTCGAGCTGCTCGGGGAGCTGACCCTCAAGTGCATTTTGGGGCAGCCCTCCCGGTGGAGTGGGCCGCTCCCCACCTGCAAAGGTAGCTCCCCTCGGATCTTGGGGCTGCTCTCCTGGGCTGCCCCCTCTTGACAACAGGAGCCCTGCAACTGAAAGGGGAGGGATTTTGCTGGGGGGGGGTGTCAGAGGCAGGAGCCCAAAGCTCAGTTAGCCATCATGCCTCCCCCCCCACACACACACCGCTTGACTCCCTGCCTCTCTTCCAGTCAACCAAGACAGCTTTGAACATGCCTTGGAAGGTAAGTCTCAGCCAGTCCGCCCCCTCTGCCCGGGGGATCTGGGCACCTGGGAAGGGCAGGCTGTGCCAGGGAGCCCTGCAGCCTTTTGTCTCTTTAGTAGCAGAAGCTGCTGCAGAAACGTCCTTGGAGGGAGGCAACATGGCACTGGCCATCTTCATCCCCGTTCTTGTCGTTTCCTTGCTGCTGGGGGGCGCCTATGTCTACATCACGAGGTAGGGAGGGAGGGAGGGTCTCCTGTTGGCACACACAGCCACCATGCATGCTCTCCCCTCCCAGCTTCTGGCGGCTTTTCTCTCTGGAAGCTGGGCTGAGCCACGGAGGCTTTGCTTTCCTCTTCCCTTCAGATGTCGCTACTATTCCAGTCTGCGGCTGCCCCTCATGTATTCACATCCATACAGCCAAATCACGGTGGAGACGGAGTTTGATAATCCAATTTACGAGACGGGGGTGAGTTGCTAAACGGAGGCTGCCAGACCTTGAGAAGCCAGCCTGGAAAGCAGCAGGTCCCTGCTGTCTTCCACCAAGAAGGCCACAGGACATGTTGCAAAGCCACGTCCAATTCAAACGTGGCTTCCTTTTGGCTGGGGCTGGGGGAAGCTGTCCGTGTGGTTGGGGGGGTAGCCACATCCTGGTGCCCTCAGAGTGGCCAGAGCAGGAAGGGGACAGGGAAATCCCCATTGTTCTTTCCCCATATGGAAAAGTCACAGCACCCTGTGACTGGACTGGTGGGTCTGCCAGGGCTCACATCAACATGAGTAGCCATTCCATTTCCTTATTTAAAAAAAAATACACAGTGAGAGAAAACTAAAAAATGCAGGACATTCTACTGAGCGTGTAGTTGGCTGTTCTCCCAAATTTAACCCAGCAAGGGACGCATCCAACTGCTCCCTTCTTCAGGTCAACCTCACAGTCAGATGAGGTTGCCTATTCTGCCCAAGTGTTGAATTTAAACCCCTCAGGCATTTAAAGCCAAGAGGTTCTCTTCAAACGGGTCGTCTGAGAAGATTCCTCAGTGGCCGGTGCCTTCTCTCTCTCTCTCCCCACAGGAAACCCGGGAATACGAGGTGTCCATCTGAAGCAGCCCCTGACACACCCCACCTCGACTTCCACCCCCAATATCTCCTCAAGGGACCCACTTGGAGATGTGGTGGAATCTGCCCGAGAGCTTGAACCCGCTGCTCTCCTTTCGCTTTCCATCCAGCTGTGCCCACTTCTTCCTCCTTGTCTTGGTGGACCCTCCCTCAGTGATCTCTCAAGCCTCATGGCGGGTGCTGAGCTCAGGCTTTGCTGGCATGGAGCTGAGTCCACTTGGCAACGCAGCTGCTCATGTGGCCAACCACAAGGGACACCCTTGCTTGGTTCTTCTTCTGGGTCTTGTGGATGTGTTTTGCAAACCTGCAAACCTGAGGCTCCCTCTGGCGAAGGAGTGAGACTTGGCTTGCCCACTGTGGCCAAAGCTCCGACCTCTTGGCAGGGCAGCTCTTCTCTTGGCCTCCTCTGGGCACAGCTGGTACCATTTCTGCCTCTGCCTGAATGGGGCAAGGAAGTGGAGCCGCCAGGGGAGACCCAGAAGCCCAGTCAAGGGAAACCCATGCCTTTTCCCATTTTTATTTCGAGTGTGAGGTATGAATTGCAGCAGCCCCTTAGTCCGGATGAGTGAGGAGGAAGAAGATGCAAAGCAGGGGCTTTGGAAGATGAAGGGCAGAGGACCTTTTGAGGGGGGCTCTCGGACATGGTCCTTCTGAAGAAATCCTTGGCCGTTGCAACCTCTCCTGGCCCTGATAATGTGCTGCCTCTGGGCAAGTTCCCCTTTGCACTGGAGCATTCTTTGCGGGCTTTGGCAAAGGCAGCCCCTGGAGATCTGCTATCAGAAAGGATGGAGAGAGGTGGTGGATCAGGCCATTGTCCCACCCACCTGGTCCCTTTCCCAAGCAGAACTGCTAGTGATCCAGCTCATTCCAGAGGCCTCTGGCACTGCCACCCACCCACCAGGTTGCATCAGGAGCCCCGGGAACCTAAATGTGACTTAAAATGCAGGGGTGAAAGGTCAGCTGGATGAGCTACAAGAACACCTGAGACAGGCTGACACCACCCCCTCCCCACCCATGCACACACTTGGAGTTGTGTCCAGGACAAATACCCCCCCCCAAGTGACTCGGCTGCTTGTCCTGCTGGACGCCTCTGCCCTGGAACAAGTCGGGTTTTAAGGAGGAGAAAGAGAAGGGCCAAATGGGCTCCCTGCTGCCCCTCTTTCCATGGAAACGTGATGAGGACAGAAGACTTTGCCCCTCCCCCTTGCCCCTCAGCCCCCCCTCCCCTGCTCAAGCCCACTCTTGTTACCTGGATGAACTGGAGGAGGAAGATATTGGGCTGGTTTATCCCCGTCTTTGTAAAAACAGTGAAAATGTAACCATGACAATTTTTTAAAACATGTCTGTTTTAGATTAGAAATCCAAGCTGGTACATCTCTGCAGGTGTCAAGGATTTGGGTGTGTGTGGGTGGCTGTGTTTTTCCCTCCTTTTAAAGCATACAGGCCGCCCTCCCCCCCTCCCTCCCCCTCCTGTGAAAGTGTATTGTGGTTTGCGAAGGCTGGGAAAGGCAGTGTGCCAAGAAGCAAATGTACACAACTTCTCTCCTTTTATAAGTGTGATGGGATTAAATATTTTTGAAGATGATGTGACCTCTTTGGACAGGGCCAGCATTGAGTAAGCGCACCGATGACGGTGCTGGGTTCTCAAGTGAGTGGGAAAGCGCCTTCAGTGGTTCTGAGCTGCTCCCATCGATCGTGCTTGGGGTAATCCTAACAGCGGTATTGGGTATTGTCGGCACCTGACAGCTTGGGTGTTTTTGAGCCAGGGTGAAGACACAGCAACAACACGGCTTCTCAGCTGTGATCTTTCCTCTCTAGCAAGAAACCCAAACCTCTCCGGCTGCCTCCCTCCGCAGCTGCCAGCCTTCCAGGGCTTCCTTGTCTTAATGGTGCAAAATCTATGCAGTGTCACGGAGTTTCTCACGTGGTCATGCAAGACACATAAAGCAGTAAGGAGGCCACGTGCATCTCACCTTGCTGGTTTAGATCAAGCTGGCGAACAAGCAGGGCCCCTAAACCTTGGATTGGAAGGGCCCTGGGGGTTCCCCAAGCAGGAAAGAAACGGCCCCTGGGAAACCTGCCTCCTTTTCCCCAACTGGGAGGGGTCCTGAGAAACTCTGGGGGGGGACAGGAACCCCCTGCTGCCTGACCTTCCAAATGACACGTCCAGCAGGGTCAGTTGGCTCGGCCTTCATCGCAGTTGAGCATCCAGCATGGCCCTTTCCTACCTGAAGATCATGTCCCTCCTCACAGCCGAGCTCAGAGCAGGGAGGGGCATCTGGGGGCTTGGCTGGCCCTGCTGCCTTGTGCTGGTGCCAGCCTTGCAAAGGGTACCTGTCTCAAGAGAGGTTCTTGGACAAACACAGGGGGGCATCTGCGCCATTTCCCTCTCCCACACCAGAGGGAAGAAAGGTTGGGAGCTGTTGCCAGCCTTGTGAGGGGAAACCTTGGGGCACTGAAGCCACAGTCTTTGCTCAAGCTCTGGGGCTGGAGGGAGAGTAGCTCCTGGGACAGGACCTGCTTCCCTGGCAGAGCCACAGGTGGAGCTCCTTCGCAAGGCTCCAGCTGGGCTTCTGCGCCTCCTTTTCCTGGGCTATGGGGATAGGCATTTACTCTCCTCCACTTTGAACAAGCACCTCCCCCCATTACCTGTCATGGACCACCCCAAAGGGTCTTCAAGTGAGGGGAGGATGAGGAAGACCCCCCCCCTTTTATGCTGCTCTCCTGGCAGTCCCAGGAATCCTTGGGCTTGGGTACATGGAACCTGGCCCAGCCCAGCTTTACAGGCAGTTGTTGGGGGGGGGGGAAGCGGCTGGCCGGCCATGCCGTCCTGCAGCTGCGCCAACCAGGAAGTCTGCTCTCCTTCCCGAAAGGCCACCAGGAAGGGGCCGGGGTGAGAGCGAGCCACTGTCCACGGGCCTTTGCTCTCCTGCCTGGGAGCAGCAGAGAGGCTGGCCGGCACTTTCAGTCTGATGGCTGAACAGAAAAGAGCAGCTGGGGTTGTCTGGTTGCTAAGGAACGCCACCCCCTCACTCTGGGGTGCCAGTTCTGCTTGAACAGCCTGCTCTCCAAGGCCTTGACTGAAGGACCACCCCCCAAGTCCCCCCTGCTGCACCTGGCTTCAGAAGGGGGGGTGGTTCAAATATCCCGCCAGGAAGCCCACTGTGTCTTCAGCCACTCTGACTGGGATTCCAGGGGCCGGGTGGGAGGGAGCCATTCCCTGCCGCTCCCCATGCCGGAGCAGAGAGATTAATGCTGCCTCTGACCAAGGTAAGCAGCCCCCCCCACCCCCACTTCCAGCCCGAGTGCTCAGAAGGCCATGTGGGACCCTCTCATTAGCCACTGTCTGGAGGCCTGGGAACAGGGTGCTCCTCTCCATCCCTCCTTCCCCTTTGGGATATTTGTTGAATGGAGCCCCCTCCCCCCCAGCCTTGCCTTTCTCCATCTTACTCCTTTCAGCAATCATCCTGGGGAAGACAGAGATCCAGACAAGCAACAGATAGCAAGGGGGAGGGGGGAAGCTCCCACACGGCCTTTTGCTGCTATTGAGCATCTTCCAGATCTTTGTGGCTAAATCCACCAAGGATCACAGAGAAGGTAGGATAGGATGGACTACCCATCATGTTTTTGCATAGCCTCCTGCTGAGACTTGGGAAACCACAGCACATTCTGGACTAATTGGCCCTCAAGGAATGGGCAGCCTCCCACCAGCCGGCCTGTAATAGAGTCCCCGTCCGTCTGTCCCCCCAACCAAGGAGACCAGCAGCCAACCCCCCTGCATGGGAGAAGACACCCTCAGCTGCCGTCAAGCGCCTTGATGGCCCTCTGGGGCAGGACGAGAGAGGGGTTTGAGGGATGACTGCTCACTGGCTGGGAGCCATGGGTAGGGGCATGGACTGTTCTGCATGCTTCTCCCAGCTAAATTCTGTCCCCCCCTCCCATCTGGAACACAGACTTCAATGGATTTGCCTCATTATTATTCCGGAGTAGCCACCTCAAGAGGCTGGGCGGTTGCCAGCTAAGAATCTTCAGCCTTGCGAACTGAGTGCCAGATGAGATGTTGCCACACGGAGGAAGCCAGAGGCTCAAAGCCTGCAGCCAAGGAAGGTGGGATCCAGGAAAGCATTTTCCACGCAGAAGACACTCTGTGCGTGCTCTGTGGCATTCTTGTTTGGCGCACCGACGCTGCCACTCAGAGTAGGTTGCGGCGCTCCTGCTAAGGCCGGCCTTGCCCTGCTGGTTTGGCTCCCCCCAGTCGGGCCCTCGTCTCAGCGGCAGCTCTGGCCTTAAGGCGAAGCTCCAGCAAGCGGTCCCGAGGCCTTGGCTTTCAACCGCCTCTTCCCAGGCTTGGCGGCCGGGACCAAGCGCCGCTTGCAAAGCATTCCACGCGGTCTTAGCGCAGGTCCGTCCACGTTTTCCGAGGCAGGTAGGCAACGCTACCCGCAGGGCGGCTCCAAAGGGGAGCCCGACTCCATCCCCCCCGCCGGAGGCGGCAGGACGCGCCCCGCAGAGGCGAAGCTCGCCAAGCTCCCGGCCGCGGCATCCGCACCCACGGCCGCTGGCCGGCGAGCGAGCCTCCCGCGGCTCCTGGCGGCCAGGGATGCCCACGTGGCGGCGGTTGCGCCATGCAGGCGGCCCCCTCCCCGGCGGAAGAAGCGCGCCGCGCCCCGCGAGAGCCTCGCACGCTCCCACGGCTGGCTAGGACGCGCGGCGGCGGCGGCGGCGGCGGCCCCTCCCCGGCGGGGCCGGGCGGGCTGCTGGGAGTTGTGGTCCGCGCCGCCGAGCCGCCGGCGCCGGAGCAGACCGTCGATCGGTGCGGGCGAGCGGAATCCGGCGGCAGGTTGGGCGGGCAGGCAGGCAGGCGAGCGCGAGGGAAGGAGGGAGGGAGGGGAGGGGAGGGGCGCGGGGCGGGGCGGGGCGTGTGCCGAGGGTGCCCGGCACCCGGAGGGCTCTTGGCCCGCGGCGGCGTCCCTGTGGGCCGGGAGCCTGAGGCTTCCGCCTGGCTTGGCGGGGGCTGCTCTGGGCAGGACAGCCACCTGCGCTGGGCACGCCTGTCTCGGCTGCGGGGGAGCCGCGTGGGCGGCCGGCTTCCCGGGAAAGAAGGAAGGGGCTTTGCCGCAGGCGCGGCGTCCAGGCTGGGAGTCCGGGACTCCTTACGCGCCGCGGCGGAGCTGCCCTCCCGGCCTGCCAGATTACCTTACATAAGGCTGCTTCCGCCCGGGAGGCTCCGGGAGGCAGTGCCAAGACACTGAGCCCCCCCCCGAAAAAGGGACCCCCAGCAACCGGGGCAAGGAAAGCCAGAGACTGAGTCCAAACTGCCCGCTTCTCCATGGGCGCTGGCGATTGCGGGTTGGGGGGGGGGCTGCCTTGCTGCTTTCTTTAAGGGGCCCCTTCCAGGCCATTTCACTCAGGCAGAGGCTGGCACCCGCCTGTGGCCCCCAGGACGCTTCCCCAGGGCGGCTTTTGGCCGTCCCTCTTGGCCCAGCCTTGGCTTGTCCTGATGTGGTGGAGGGTGCTTCACGCTTTTGGGGTCCCTGGTGCTAGCTGCATTTGGCGCTTAAATCTCTGAGGAAGGGCCCTTTTGATGGAGGGCAGCCTCCATCCCCCCCCCCCTGTCTAGGCGGTTGCTGAGCTGCAGTCCCAGGAAGGCATCCCAGAATGGGACATGGGAAGGTTGCTCATTTCACCCAAGCAGGGATGGGTAGCACAGCTCCCCCTCTGCCTCAGGGAAAGGCGTTGCAGCCCCCCATGAACAGGCATCCCGGCTTACCGCCTGAGCCGATAAGCCACAGCTTTGGGTGCCTTCAGAGTTGGTGACTCACCAGCCTCTCGATCCCTAACAAATTACTGCCTTGGTGCTAAGTGGGTGGCACAATGTGGAGGTGGAGGGAGGCGGTTGAGGCAGGCGGGCAGCTGGGCGGCTCAGAAACGGGCTTCTGCCTGCCCTGTGGAAGTGCTGCCTCTGCTGTCCCTGGCGGGTTCCCTCCCAGGACCCTCTGCTCAGGCCTACAAGGCTGCTGGGCATGGCTCTCCACCCACTAGGGAAGGAGGCAACCTCTGCCAACCAAAGCTCTGGGACTGGCAAAAGGGATTCTTTGTTTCCAGCCTGGTAGCCCATCCAGGCTCTCACCTTGCACCCAAAACCCGGGAAGGTCAAAGGGAAAGGGTTGCACGGCTCCTTAAGGTTCAGGAGTTATGGGAGGTGCCCCCTTTGGGGCACTGGGTGATGGGGTGAGGGTGGGCCGATGGTACAGGCAGGGAGTCCCCTCCCCAGTGCCCCGTGTGTTCTCCTTTCAGATTGTCCGAGAAGATCAAGGGAGAGGCTGGATTCCCGCAGCTACTTTGTTTGGAGACCCAGGAGGGAGGACCAAGGTTCTCAGAGCAGCGCCTCCCCACTTGAGAGACACGATGCCGCCGTGGGAAACCCCTTTGGGGAGTCAGGAGCCCAGGCCTGCAATGGGACCAGCCCCACTGGCCACCTTGAGCTGGGTACTTGGCACCCGGATCCCTAGGAACTCTTTCGCTGCATGACCGGCCTTTCTCCGATGGGTGAAGCTGCCCAGGTCCTGCCCAGCTTTTCCTGTTGAATTTCTTCTTGGGCGCCTGTGTGCCCCAGGCGCAAGGCTTTGTACAGCTGCTGCCAAGATGTCTCTGGAAGGGCTGATGTGCTGCCATGGGTCGCTTGATTGGCTGAGGGAGTTCATCGGCTCCACCATCCAGTCGGTGCGGGACTGTGACCCCCCTGCGCTCAGCACTCTGGCCGTCCTGCTGGCCCTCTTCGTCTGGTACTGCTACCACGTGGGGCGGGAGCAGCAGCCCCGGCCTTACGCCACGGTGCTCCAGGGGGGCGTGGAGGTGGCCGGCCTGCAGAACGGCTTCAGCCACTGCCGCTCCCCCGAGTGCGTGCGCTGTGCCCAGAGCGATGGGCTGAACCAGAAGCTCTACCACAACCTGCAGGAGTATGCCAAGCGGTACTCGTGGGCGGGCATGGGCCGGATCCACAAGGGCATTCGCGAGCAGGGCCGCTACCTGACCAGCCGCCCATCCATCCAGCGCCCAGAGGTCTTCTTCCTGCCCGACTTGCCCACCACCCCCTATTTCTCCCGGGAAGCCCAGAAACACGACGTGGAACTGCTGGAGCGCAACTTCCAGACCATCCTGTGTGAGTTCGAATCCCTCTACAAGGCCTTCTCCAACTGCAGCCTGCCGGACGGATGGAAGGTCAACAGCACGCCCAGCGGTGAGTGGCTGACCTTCTACCTGGTCAACCAGGGCACCTGCGTGCCCCGGAACTGTCGGAAGTGCCCTCGGACATACCGCTTGCTGGGGAGCCTCCGCACCTGCGTGGGCAGCAACGTGTTTGGCAACGCCTGCATCTCCGTGCTGACCCCTGGCACAGTCATCACTGAGCACTATGGGCCGACCAACATCCGTGTGCGCTGCCACCTGGGTAGGTTCTGCGGTCCTCTTGCCTGCTTCCTGGCTAGTGTTCTGGCAAGAGGGGTATCGGTTACCGCCCAGGACAAGCCCCGGGTGGCCTTGAGCTGGTCAGCAAGGAGGGAGGCAAAGCATCTCTTAGGGGCTGGAGTTGCCCTGCGCTGCCTTTGCTCGAGAGTTCTGCCCACTCAAAACTCCCCCTTGCAGAGTTTGGGGGAAAGAGCTTTATCTGACTCCTGACGTCATGTTCCCAGCAGCCAGAATCTTCCAAGATGGTTTGAAAAGGCGGTTGGCGGGTAGTGGTGGTAGGAATCAGGTTCTCTGCATAATGAAATTTCTGTGCTTTTCCAAGTGGCATTGGATGTAGCCGGTGTAAAGTTGGGAATCCCATTCTGGCATTTGTTTGGGATTCGAGAGAGCCCATTTTGTTATAAACCCACAGTAAAGGCTCATTTGCATGGCTGGCACAAGCTGCTTCGCATACCAGTCTGGGCAGCTGCCATGGCAACTGCAACCGTGGCCTGATCTGTATTCTGCCAGGCAGCTGCCAGAGACCTTTGGCTACCCTGGGTTGTCTGGGCAACGCCCCTCTGTTGGGGGGGCAGGTGCTAGAGATGCAATTGGGAGTGTGTGCGTATGCGTGCTCCTCTCCTTTGTGGCCAGCTGGAAGCATAAATGCTCTAAGCAGTGTCTTTGGGGGATCCAGTTGTTGGGGGCTGAGATAGTGGAGGGGCAGCTCCTCAGGCCGGGGGCTCGGTTGATGCCGTGCCTTGCCTTTCCTCTCTCCTTCCTTCCCCTCTTCGCAGGTTTGAAGACACCCAGCAGCTGTGAGCTAGTGGTGGGAGGTGAGCCCCAGTGCTGGGCCGAAGGACGCTGCCTGATTTTTGACGATTCCTTCCTGCACACAGCCTACCATGGAGGCAAGTCTCTTCCAGCTGAAGACAGTGCTGTGCCACAGAGACCCAGAGAGCGTTTTCCAGGCCTCCCCCTTCCCTGTGGGCAGGAGGTGCCCCAGGTGAAGCGAGCCTGGGTGGCATCTCTGTGCCCATCCCCTGGATCAACCTCCCTTCTCTTTGCCCCTCCAGGCTCCCCTGAGGAAGGACCCCGTGCGGTGTTCATGGTAGACCTTTGGCACCCCAATGTCGCTGCGGCCGAGCGCCAGGCTCTCGATTTTATTTTTGCTCCTGGACGGTGACGTGGGGCTCCTCCTTTCCGGAGCAGGTTCCATGTTTCTGCGGAGTGGGCTGCTCTCCCGCCTGTGCAACATAGGCACAGCTGATGTGGGGTTCACCCCTTGCACCTGATTTGGTACCCAGGCCTTTTCACCTTACAACCTCCTCCCGTCCGCCACTTTGCTTGGGGCTTGACTGCCCCCCCCTTTTTTCCTGTGATTAGGCCAAATGCTGCTGTAGTATCCGTCCACCTTGCTTTTTGTGCGTTGCTGTGCCCAGAATTTTGCATCTGCAGTTTTTGGAGGCGTCAGTGAACCTAGTTGTGCCAATCTTTCTCTTGCGAACCTCCTCAAAAGGCAAACCACCCAGTTGCCCATCTTCACTGAAGCTTCAGAAACCACAGTGGGCCACCCTCAGCCGGATCCTGTCTCCACTCCCCTTCTTTTGGCAGAAGTGAGTGGAAGCATAGCAGGGCAGTGTTTGGGGGGTGGCCGAGACTGCCCCCTTTTCTCAAGCCCTGCATTGGCTGCTTTGTGCCTTGTTTGGGGTGCTCCTGCCTGGACTGGGGCAGCATCCTTTGCGCACCGGTGGGGGGAGGGGCTGTCATGGCCTCTCCCTGCAGAGTGGCAGCAGGAGGAGGGGGCTTTCTGGCCGCCTTGGGGGCAGAAGCTGAAAGCAAGCCAGCCCCAAATGCTATTTCCCACACGGGGCAGTTTCTGCACCCCACCTGCAACGTGGCGCATAGCAGCACTGTGGCTTGGCCAAGGCCAGGACTTTTCAATAAAACACTTGTGCTCAATTCCTGTTTTTTCCTTTGTGGCTGATGGTGGTCAGAGTTAGACTTTGGGGTCAGAGGAGAAAGTGGAAGGAGCGACCCTTCTCTCTCTCTCCTGGTGGGCCAGGAAGAGGCAGAGGAAGCCCTGGGGCCAAAGCTCTCCTCTTTGCTGGGATCCAATGGATTCCCTGGGTGTCTGTTAAACCAGAACTCAGCAATCCCCTTGCCACTGGCCGAGCAGGCTGCAGCTGACAGGTGCTGAGTGCAGATCAGGCAGGGGATCCCCCGGCACCCCTCTGGAACCCTCAGCCCTGGAGACCAGGAGGGAGCACGTCTCTGCTGGAAATTGCAGCCCAATCTGGTTGCTGTAATGATTCACCCCCTTCCGAGAACCTGGGGGCTCCCATTGCAAACACACTGCAAGACTCGATCAAGTGGAGCTCAACCTCCGGGGGGGGGGTGGAAATCGGGATCTCGGGGGCAACTGGAGGCTGTGCAAGTCATGTGTCCAGGATGAGTTTCCCTCGGCTCCTGTGCCTGCTGCCTTGCCGGCTGGGGCTGGCAGACGGCCTACACAGACGGCGGCTGAAGCTTTCCTGCAGCAACTGCAGGCACAGAGGCTATTTCCCTTCGGGGCCTCTGTTGCTACGCAAACACTCCTGCTTGACTGAAAACATGGCTGCCCACGGCTGCTCCCAATGGCGGGCTCCCTCCCAGGGCCCCAAGGTCTCCTGCTAGGGGCCGGGTGTCCGTCGGGGACCCAGACCTGGGGATCAACAGCACAGGGCAGGCCCCTCCTTACGAATGCAGGCCGGGAGAGCCAGAGCAGAAGACGGCAGCTTTATTCTCCCCCAGACCTTTATTCAAGGCCACCCCCCCACACCCCCCATGCTGCTTTCCTACAGAGCAAAGATTTCAGAGAATCCAGGACAGCAGGGAGTGGCAATGGGCATCAGTCCATCTCAAGGCAGGGGAAGGGGCTGGAATTCCTTAGCAAAGATCACGCGCTCCCCCACCCCCACCCCCAAAATAGGAAAGCCTGGAGGAGTGCCAGCAGCAACACGGGTGAGAGCAGGGCAGAGGAAGGCTCCCCTCAGTGCCACCCTCTGCCATTCAGAAAGCACCTCCCAGAGAGCAAGGCCCCCAAAACTGCTGCCGCTGCCCACTCCTCAGTCACGGTCTGGCCTGGAGCCAAGTCGCTTTCCAAAGTGCGGGGGGGGGCGCTGCACTCGTAGGCACTGGGGAGGGTGGAGGGGCGGAGAGAGTCCCAGCAGAGCGCCCCCCCCCCCAAAGTGGGGAACCACCCAAGGGCAGGACCCGAGTGCTGCTCTCTTTGACTAAGGCCTCGGCTCCTTCAGGCAGGCCCACCAGCAGGCCCACCTTGGGAAGACGTGGCAAGGAGTCGGTGGGCCAAGCGCAGTGGGCAGGCTTCCAGGGCTTCTGTGCCAGAGCTGAGGCAGTCCTGGATAGGCGTGGAGGCCACCTCAGAGCAAGTTCACCCCGTGCTTGAGGAGCTTCAGCCTGGCCTTTCCGGGCAGACTAACCATGCTGTCCCGGGGGTTGGGCACCCCTGAGTTGTAGGGTGGCGAACCCCTCTGCTGAAAGTAGCTCTCCTGGACGGCATTCCGGCAGCCATAGACGGCCGTGCTGGCATTTCTGAAACAGATCAAGAGATGGGTACCGGTTCTTTTATGCTGGGGAAGCAGTGCAGAAGAGATCGTTACAGCAACTGCACCAACCACACACTCGGGCAGCAGCTGCCTGGCAGAAGAGCTGGGTGAAATCAGAGAGTTGTGTCTGGTTTTGGTCTGCTAGATGGAGGGATGGCACTGAGCCTCCGCCATCACTTCTGTGTGCCACAGACAGTGCTGGGCTAACTGGCAGGCGGCCGTGGTCTAGCAAGGTCGCACCCGAGCTGCCCAGTGCAGGGCCCCCAGGCCCCCCTCCGCCCATCTTTACCTGAGCGTCAATTCAGAGGTGGCGGGTAGCTGCTCAAAGGTGGTGTGGATCAGGCCGGTGGCTTGCAGGAAGCGCTGGTCCTCGGGGCTCGTGGCCTGCAGGACGTTGGCTGAAGGGACAAGTCGCGCCATCAGTGATGCTGGGACATGAGAGCGAAGGCTGCCTCCCAGCCCCTCCCCCACTCACTGGTGAGGATGTTCTGGATGGCGTCATGGTGAGCAAAGTTATAGGTGCTCCTGGCCGAGGGGAGGGGGCCCTTGGGAAGGGTCTCTGCCAGGTGGACCTCCAGACCGTTCAGAGAAGCCAGGCTGCTGTGGTACTGTGAGTTTAGGGGGTTGGGGGGAAAAGAGAGAGAGAGAAAGATTTGTGAGAGCCCCCCCCTCACAATAGTCCCACTTGGGAAGCTGTCTCCAGGAAAGGGTTCTGGAGGGCAGGGAAGCTGGCCGGGCCACCTCCCTGAACGGCTGCCTTCAGGGCCTTGAGCGAGTTTCCTTACCACGTCCTCCATGAAGTCTGCGGAGCTCACCAAGGGCTCTTCAGCCACGAGGGCCAGCACCAAGCCCCGAATGTGGTGAACGTACAAGGCCATCCTCACCAAGGGGGCTCCATCTGCCCCTCCTGCGGGAGCCTCACTCCCTTTGCTGCTGGCCAGGTCAGCCCTGCGTAGGCGGAACAAGATGGTTGAGCTGGACTGGCCCCTCCTGCCCCATCCCCATCTGCCTCCCCTTGGAAGGGCGGGGGCCCCTACCACCCCTGGGGAATGGTTGGCTGTCTGGACAGAAGGACTGCCCTGACTGGACATCAATGCTGCCCCCGCTCATCCTATTAGAAGGCAGCTGGACTGTCTGGACTGGCACAGTGAGGCCAGAGGGCACCTGCTTTGGCAACAGAAGTGAGAATCTCGGGGGAATCTCCTCGGAGAGCCTGATGGGAGTCACTGAAGTCACAATGGAGAGCCCAGCCCGGGGGGACTGTCATGATTCTGTCCTTACCTGGTCATCCACTCTACAGGCAGTTCCCGCAGGGCAGCTGCTTCGTCCTCCAAGAGGTAAACAGGTGTGACGCAGACCCCTGGTGGTAAAGTTGTCAGCGCAAAAGAGGTCAGGGAACTGCCTGGAGAAAAGACCAATCCAGAATCCTCAGGCGCTCAGAAGGACCTTGGCAAGTGGGCAGCAGGGCTCCAGAGGGTGGACGGAGCCATGCCCAGCTCCCAGCTTACCCTCTTTGAGCTGCGCCGCCCCCTTTTCCGGCCCACTCTAGAATGGAAGCAGAGAGTTAGCCAGGTGGTACCAAGCTGCAAAAAAAGGTTATTTTTCTCAGAGGAGGATTATTTCATGACCGCCCCTTCCCCCCCCCCCCCCCGATTATTACACCAGAACCATCCAAATGATATTGGCACATTTTCTACCCTCCTCCCCCACCCCCAATGCCACAAGGGTAGAGCTACAACTTACACTTCCATCCTCTGATCCCTTCTGCAGCAAAACTCTGGCAGTGAGCTCAGGTGGCAGCTGTGTACTAACCACCCTGCATGGAGAAAGGAAGGAGAGGTCACCTGTGGATGACCCCCAATCCCTGAAGAACGAGGCCCATCTAAGAGTACAAGAAGGCCCTTGACCACTTGGTCACACGGAGGCCTTCACATGGGAGGGGGGATATGGGGTACAGGGGATCTGGCCCCGATCTGATACACAGCAATTGTGGAGCTGATTGTCTTCAAGGCCACTGATCAAAGGCCAGTGGAGGAGACCATGAAGTCTCAGTGCTGACCTCCTGCTCCCCAGACACTCACCGGCCCCGATAGAGGATGCAGCCCGCCAGCACGTGGTGAGAACGCTGGCAGCTCTGCAGGATGAGGGCAGCTTTCAACAAGAGCAAAGGGTCCACCTGCCAGAGAGGAGAGCCGGAGCAAATGACCCTTCTAGGCCCCTCGTGGCAGCCAAAGGGCCTTGTCCCACCTGGCCCTTCCTACTTTTGACTGCGCCACAAGAAAGCGCAGCAAGTAACAGGCCCCAGCCCTCCAGGGAGGCACCTTGGTTTTGTCCAAGGCCCAGAGGGAATTAAACACCCGGTGGAGGTCGCTGGAGTTTTGCTGCAGGTGGCCCACGTAGAGTTCCCACTCCCGGTCAAGGTCCTCCTGTGAGCGCTCCTGGGAAGGACAGAGAGCATCCCGGTCAGAAGTGGGTGCAGGGGAGGGACAGCCCCCACCACTCAAGAGACAAGCTGCCATGCAGAAAGGCCTGCCTTTGGTGGGTCAAGGAGGCTCAGACGGCCTCAATGTACCCGGAGCAGAGGGAGAAGTTGGAGCCGAGGCTGGAATAAACCACAAACGGATACAACGTTGAGGGCAACTGCCAGGAACTTTTCCAAAGTGCTCCACTGGCTGGAGGGGCAACTGACACTGAGAGGCTTCAAAAGAGCCCCGGTTGTTTCCCAGGGTTACCTAGGACTTGCTGTCAGGTGATGATTATTAGGCATCCGTCACCCGCAACACCTGAGCTCTCCCAGCGGCTGGCCGTACATTACTCTCCATCAGCCGGTGCGCCACCCCCCCCCGTGCCAGCCATCCGGGCTCAGGGGAACCGGGACGGCAGCTCAGCAGACGGGGCAGCGGCTGCAGGGATACGTTCCCCAGATGAAGAGAGAAAAACGCAACCAGCTGTGAGGAATCTTGCAGGGTGGCAGACGGGCCCCAAGGGATGCCACGCTCTGCCCAGGGCAGTAGCCCGTCCCGTCCCCCTGATGGCCGGCGGAGTCCAGGCAGGGAGGGGGCGACCCACCGCGTAGGCCCTGGAAGCCGGCCCGTTGTAGAAGCGGAAGAGGCCGACCAGCCGCTCCAGGAGCCGCCTGCAGCTGAGGTCCGAGAGGTCGGCGGTGCAGCCCAGGACCTGCAGGAGAGAAGGGCCGGCATGGGACACTGACCTGCCCCGATCCCGCCACCCCCAACCCCATCCCAGGCCACCCTGCAGCCCGGACTCACCCACAGGTAGCTGCCCTGCGCTTCCAGCGCGAACTTCAGCTTCCGCAGCCGGATGAGGCCCGGCGGGCAGCCGGAAATCTCCAGGGCGCAGCGGGCCACGCCCGCGATCTGCCCGCACAGCAGCTCCTGCTCGTCGCGCGGGGCCTGCAAGGCAGGAGGGGGCCGGTGGGGCAGCCGAAGGGGGAGGGGGGGGGGGGGGGGCCGGTGGGGGAGCCGAAGGGGGAGGGGCGGTGGGAGGGGCCGGTGGGGCAGCCGAAGGGGGAGGGGCGGTGGGAGGGGCCGGTGGGGCAGCCGAAGGGGGAGGGGAGGGGAGGGGGGAGAGGAGCCTACCTGGCGCGGGTAGAAGCAGCAGATCCCGGCGTGGGTGGGGTCGCCTTCGCCCCGCACCTTCGAGGCGTCGTAGAGGAAGAAGCAGCGCCACCTGCGGGAGAGGGGGGGGGGCCGCCGGGGGGGGGGGGGGAGGGGGGGGGGCGGGGGGGGGGGGGGGGGGGGGGCCGGCGGGGGCGGCGGCCATTCTGGGTTCTCCGCAGCGGGACCTACAGGCGGGAAGAGCGGGGGACCGACGGGGGGGACCGGAGCCCCTGCCCCCCGCGAGGCTCTCTGCCCATGCTCAGAGGCGCCCTCGACAGCCGGACCCGGAGAAGCCACCCACTTCCGCCAGGAAGTCACGTGCGTGGACGCGATTCCGGTGGGGCGGGGGGGGCTCCCCGCGGAAGAATCGCGCTCTCCTGGCTGCGCGGCGACGGGTGCCGCGGAGGGACGCTCCTCGCCTTTCGCGTTTCGCTGCTGTTGCGGCATGTCCGCGGATGGGGGCCTTGCGGGAGGGGACAGAAGGCGGCGGCGGCGGCGGCGGCGGCCGGCCAAGGACGAGAGGCCCGAGGCGGCGGGCGAGCGGCAAAGGCGGCGGCTGCAGGAGGCGCTGTAAGGACACCCCCCCCCAAAAAAAATACTACCAAAAGGGGAAGAGGGGGAATGGAGCTTCCACAGACCGGCGCAGTCTATCTCCGAAGGAGAGAGGCCCCCCCTTGCCCCCCCTCTTCTTAGCACCGAGTTCCTCCCTCCCTCCTTTCTTTGGCAGCTCCGAACTGAAGGATTCCAACTTCTGGGAGTGCAGCCGAAGTGAGGCTTCGTTCAGCGGCCAGGCCTGGGGCGGAGGGGCCCCCCGACCCTCCCGGAGCCAGCCAAGCGCACTTCCGGAGGGAGAGCCAGGGCCTGGCTCGGGGCACCGCAGCGGAGCGGGGCAGCGCTGGCTGGGCCAGGGGGAGGGAGGGGAGGGAGGGAGGGGGGACCCACTTTGGCCTCTTCCTCCTCGTCCAGGAACCATCGCCAAGGCCCTGCGGAGCCCCCCAGCAGCCCAGCAGGACCCCTTGGCAGCCTTGCGGGAGAGGCCGGAGGGCCCCGGGGGCAGAGCGGCGGGCCTGCGGTGCGTGTGCTACGGCCTCGGGAGCTTTTGCTCGTGCGGGAAGGCTCGCCTGCAGCTGGCCTTCCTCTTGCTGCTGCTGGAGGAGCTCAAGGTTGGGGCCGCCGGCTGGGAGGCGAGGTGGGGGGGGGGAAGGGCGGGGGAGGCCCTCGTGCCAGTCACCCCCCCTCCCCCCCCGCTGTTGCACTGCAGATCGCCCCGGAGCTGTGCTTCGTCTTCGACCCCGTCTTTTCCACGCTGGAAATTGAGGTGCTGAGCGGCCTCGGCCTCACCGTGCTGCAGTGGAACGAGGTGAACTTGGGGGGGGGAGGGGGGGAGCCAACGTGCCTGGCCCCACAATCGGGGTCTCTTCCCTGAGGTCGGCCCTGCAGTTCTTGGTAAGCCCTTTGTTGCCCAGGAGGGGAAACGGAGCATCGAGGGTCCCACGCTCTTCTACATGATCCACTGTGGGAAGGCACTGTACAACAACCTGCTGTGGAGCAACTGGTCTGCGGAGGCCCTCTCCCAGATGGTGGTCGTGGGCAACAGCTTCAGGGGCTTTGAAGAGAGGTACGGGCTTCCACCGCCACCTGGGCAGGGAGGGTGCTGCTGCCAGCCACTCAGCCTGTGCACATCCTTTTAAGGCCCTGGCTGAGTTTGTGCGATCCTGGCCTGAGTGTGGATTCCTACACTGTGGGACTCAAAGGTGCGAATTGCTGATTTGACCCTAACCCTTGGTCCCCTCATGCGGTTTGGCTGAAAGCTGAGTTTTACTTTCCCCCTCCACATTTTGTAATATCCCGTCTCTCTTGTCCCCCAATTCCCATTTTAGGCTGCTGGCCAAAGTCTTCTATGAGAATTATAGCTACATTGCCAAGGTGGGTCTTCCTCTCTAGCTTGGGTGGGAGGGACTTAGTTCTTCTAGTCTCTGGCCGCCAATGTGCCCAAATCCTGCGACACGTTCTTGTGCTCACCTGTCCCCAGGTGTTGGTGGCAACTCAGGAGGAAGCCCTTCCGCCCCACCTGCAACACCCCGATGTCTTCAATGACACATCCGTCCACCGCTTTCCTCTGCAGAAACTGAGGGACCTCCCCCAGGACTGCTGGGCCTGCCAACCAGAGCCCCTTTACCCGGAAGAGACTCAGCTAGAGATCATCAGAAACAAACCCCAATAATATTCCTCCCCCACTTCCCATGCACAGGAAAGGCGGGGGGAGCTGCAGCAACAGTGTTGGGAGCCCAGTCTGGGCATACAATGAGCCCTGCTCTACAAGCAGAGGACAGACTCAACTCTTGCTTCTTGCTCAGGGCAGGATGGGGGTGGGTGGCGGGGGGGGGGGGGAGGATGAGAAGAGAGATGGAAAATGATGGTAGGTCTTGCTCCTTCCAGGAAACCATGCCAGGATTTCTCCCCAAAAGTGGAAGGGGAATCTTATATTGACTTTTGTAACCATTAAAAATATTATCTTGAACCCTGTGCCTTTTATTAACAGCAGTTACTCTCCTAACTTTCTCAAGCCCCTTCAATGATTTGCCAAAGTAATTGCTTTGCCCCCACCTCCCCCCCCCCCCCCCCCAAGGATGGGCAGTTTGAGCATTTTTAGCAGACAAGCACCAGAATAAAGCATGCCCTTTATTTACAGATAAAGTCAGGGCTGGGTCTTTCCAGCCTCTTTTACAAGGGGCCATAAGCACTTTCTGGTATGGGGGGAGGTGGGGCAGCCCTTTGAGTCCCTCCTGCTCACTTGGCCATGTCGATGAGGCTCTGCAGAGATGTGGGCACCCAGGTCTTCTCACCCTGCACAAAGACCACCCCCCGGTCGATATAGATGATGATGCGCCCAAAAGTGTAGAGCTGCTTTCCCTCGTGCCGCTTCCCAATGATGGGCATGAAGACAATGTTGTGCTCCTCTGCTTTGGTCTGGATCAGGTCTTTAAAATTCATGGGCACAGAACTAGCAGCCATGCCAATCCCGCGCTGGGCCATGTTCTCGGCTTCTCGGCGCTCCTGCATGGCCTCGTACTGGAAATCCTTCCGGCGTTCTGTATGCGTGAGGTAGGCGATGTTCTCCCGTGCACCGGGCTGCATATAGCCGCCTGTCAAGGGAGGAGGAGAAAAGGGATAAGAATGCCAGCAGCCCCACATGTGCACTGACCCCTCCATGTAATTGGCCAAGAATCTGGCCTTGAAGCTTTTCAGATAACTGGAAGGACAGCACCCACCGACGCTGGAGGAGACTGCTCTGTTCATGATGTCCAGGGCTTCGTTGAACTTCTCCTTGATGGAGGGGTGGGCCAGGACCTGGTCGGAAAACATGGACTTCCAGCCCAGGTACCACTTAGTGATCTCCTCATAATTGGGGTTGTTGCTGAGCCAAGAACAGAGCACCTGTGGGGGGAGGGAGAAAGGGGACATGCAGCAACAACCCACCACAAGCTCCACTGACTCTTGGGGGCCCTTCCATTCCACTCCTGGCAGCCCAAAGGCCGAGGAGATGCTCCTGAACAAGGGAAGGGCCATCTTCTGCAGCGGGGTTCAAGGACCAAGATGCCCAACTGCTTTAGGGCTCCAACCACTTGGGGCATGGTGGCTCTTAATCCGGGCCAGACCCTGAGGGACACCCACCTGCAGCCACTTGGGGAAGAAGTGCTTCTCGAGAAGCCCCACCAGGCTGGAGACGGAGATCATCCCTTCCCAGTCCATCACCCAGAAGAAGGCGTCCATGTGCTGCTGGTGCGGATTGATGATCAGCTCGTTGAGACACAGGCCTATGGGGAGGGGAGATCAGCAGGAAAGGCCGCCAGCCATTAACTTGGCCTCCTGGGGGGGGGGAGCACAGACGACCTGCTCCCCCCACAAGCACCTCAGCTCCTTCACAAGCAAACCAACTGGTCAGTCCAGTCCAAATATTTTGCACTTTATGAAATTAACTGCTTAGTTTTACCAAGACTGACACTCTTGGGGGGGATCCCAAAAACCGAACCAGGGAGGAGAGCGAGAACCACCCTGGAGCTGGCAGTTGTCGGTCTTCTCCCTTTTCTGGGGAGGAATCCCACCTCGGCTCTAAATCTCCACATGGGGATCATCGACTCACAGATAAGCTGCCCTTCATCCGCAGCCAAAACCCTCCCCCTTTCCTTGCTGATGAGGAAACAGCTGCAGGAGGAGCGGATGGTGAAGGCCAAAAGCAACAGCCTTCTGGTACCAAGGCCAAACAATGGTAGCCAGCCAGAATCTCAACATCTGGGATTTCAGGGCCTGCCCACATTCACCTTCTTGAAAGAAGATGCTAACAGTCTGCCCGCCTTTGGGGTGGGATGGGGTGGGGGAGAGATACTTTCTCTTTCTGCTCTCACCCAGTTTGGGCACAATATTCTTGACCATGAAAGCCTCCCATGAGCCTGGAGTGAAAACCTCTTTCCAGGGCTGCAGAATCAGCTTGGCCGAGGAGTCGCTGGGGTGCCACTTCTGGAGAGCGTTGGACAGCTTGTTGCGGATGGGCGAGTAGAGGGGTTCGAGCCGGGCCTGCATCAGGGGCAGCCAGGGGTGTATCCACGAGTGGATGGGTACGGTGTCAGTTAGAGGGTTCCAGTTCTCCACCTAAAGCAACAGTGAGAGAAGTGTAGAGACTGGGGTTGCGGAAACAGCTTCCCCACAGCGGCCCAAAGAATTGCCCATCACACCTCCTTCTGTAGTTTGGGGAAGATCAGCTGGTCTAGAATGTTATCCAGGATCCACACTGGAATGATGTGCCTCCAGCTGTCGAGGAAGTCCACGATCGGGATGCAGTGGCGGGGCTGCCACTGGGCCACGATATTTCGCACGTACGGCATCCACGTTTCCCACATCAACCTGAGGATCCCAAGCAAGCAGTTCAGGGCTCGAATTGACCCAACCCACTTACGAGATTCTTCTGGGGAAGAGCCCTTCTCTCCTTTCGTGCTGGAGGCTTACCTGTGGAAGGCATCTGAGCCCAGATCCTGTGCACTGTGAGAGAGCAACTGATCGTTCTCCAGCAAGGCTTTCCATTTGGCCAGGATCTCCGTGCCGGCTGTGCAGTCCTATAGAGAGGAAAGAGAGACATGGCTCTAATTGCAAGTTTGGTGAGATGCGCACCGATCCACAAGCCTTCAGAAGCTGGCTTGGAGCTGTACCCAAAGGCCCATGGAAGCCCCACCTTGAGGGGATCCCAGTTCTTGAAGTAGTCCTTGACCAGAGGGAAGACGATGGCCACGGCCAGGTCCACGCGGTCTGACATCTGGTACTCTTCATAATACTTATCCTGGAGGGTCTCAAATATCTTGACGCACTCGGGCAGAGTCAGAGGGTCTTCGCAGTTGGGCTGCATCCGCCTCTCGCACTCTTCCACCAGCTCCAGGACCTCACTGAGGTTGCGGATGTCGGTCTCCTCCTGCAGGAGCACCTTCTCCATCTTCTCGATCTCATGGCTCAGGTTGACCACCATGTCCCGCTCGTATTGCAGCTGCCGGTCATTCTGGATGATTTCCTGCTCTGTCAGGTCGATCAGCAGCTGCAGATTGTGCTCCAGTTCTGGCAGGGAGAACGTTGGTGTCCTGGCATCCTTGCCCAAGATGGGCAGCTGCTGCTGGGGACCATCCTCCGGAATGTTGTGCTTCTGGCTGATCTGACTGTAGCTGTAGTAAACCTTCTGCTCCCGACCCGTCATGTCAATTACCTTCCAAAAGAGAAACCGCACCCAGTGAGGAGGCGGAGAGGCACAGCAGGCCCCAAGGTGGAGCAGGACCCCCAATTTAGAGTCACCTTGTAGGGAAGAGGGGTGGCATAAACATGTAATAAACAAACTTTTTGCTTAATGCATTGTAAGCCGCCCTGAGTCTCCGGAGAAGGGCGGCATATAAATCAAATTAAAAAAAAACGTAGGCTGTTGCTGACATCCATTTCACCCTCAGAGCCCCAGGGAGGCAGCTGAAGATATTATTAAGGATTGCAAGCTCATTCCATGGCAGACCCTTCATGGCTGTCTTTCGTGGATGTAGCAGAACCGCTTAGCCCCCACTCCCTTCCTCCCCCCCTGCCCTTCTTGCTGCCATCTCCCAGCTCACCTTGACCTGCGCCAGCTCCTTCTGAGGGGCAGACAGCTGCTTGCCCGCCCTGCCCTTGGCTTTCAGCTCCTCCACCGTTTTGTAGGTATACTTGGGCTTTTTCTTGCCCCCGCTGGGGTCCTTCCGCCACTGGCTGAGTTCCTTTTGAAATTCCTGAGGGCAGAGGAGAAACGTCAAAAACAGAGGCAGGCAGGGCGCAATCCACAAGGCACCCATATTTTACTGAGATAAAGCAGGAGATTGCATGTGATGGAGGAGGGGCTGTTGTTCTCTCAAAGAGGTGGGAAGCCACAGGTTTCCCAGCAGCCAGTCTCTTGCTGGAAAGCAGGGGCAGATTGGACCAAGCCATGCCAACCCTGGCTGAAGTCTGAAACATCTGGCATGAACCACTCGGGCACTTTACCATATAGAAGCATAGGAAGCTATTCGAGAGCCCTCATTTTGCTACACAGCGGGGGGCGGGGGGCGCTTTCTCCCACACCAGCTCTAATGTGGCAAATGAGAACATGGGGTCGTACCTCCTCCTCCTCCTCGTCAGAGTCAACAATGGGGAAATCTTGCAAGGACTGTGTGGTTCGCTCCGAGCCATATGCCCCAATTGCTGCCTTGCCTTTCCTCTGCTTGGCCTCAATGGGGTTGATGATACCTAGGAAAGTCCTTCAGGGTTAGTGAAACGAAGAGCTCCCTGCAGACGCCACTGGAGGCTCCATCACTGGAGGACTTCAAGAAAATATTGGACAACTGACGAGAAGACCTCCAGCCCCATCTTTTTGGGTTGCGCTACCAACCTCCCCTGAATTTTATAAATCACTTATTTGTCACGACCATGGATAAGAAGCCGCTTCTCAGAGAAGCCGGGATGCAAAAAGGGGAATAAGGCAACGATGGGCTTGAGGAAAAGAGGGAGAGCCGGCCCTACCTTGGGCGTTTTTCCCCAGGCCTCGGCCGGGCACGTAGCCCATCTTCTGCAGGAGCTTCTGCCCGATGCCCTTGGTGTGCCTCTCCCAGCTGCCGAAGTCGGCGAAGGACTTGCTGCCGCCCATGAAGCCCTTCTGGCTGGGCTTGAAGTTGCCGCCCTGCATCGGTTCGGAAGGGGGAAAAGAGAGGATGAGCCCCGGGGAGGCCGGGAGGGGGGCGCCCCTTCCTCCGCCCCGCCCCGCCCCTCACCGTCTTCAGCTTCTTCGGCAGCGCCTCCTTGGGGGGCTCCTCCGCCCGCGCCCCGCTCTCACCCTCCTCCTCCGAGTCCTCGTCGGGGCCTTCCTCCGAGTCCTCCGCCGCCGCCGCCGCCGCCGCCCCCTTCTTCAGCCCGGCGCTGATGAAGCTCACCGGGGCCGAGTAGTCCCGGGACCTGGGGGGGGGGGGGAGGGGGGGACACGGGGGCGTTTAGGGCGGGAGGCTCCGAGCCCGGCCCTTCCCCCCCCTCCCCTCCCCTCCCCGCCTGCGCACCGCTTCCCGCCGAAGCTGGGCCTCTCCTCGTCCGAGTCGCGCTCGGCCCACAGGCCGTAGATGGCCTCCTCCTTGGTCTGCCGGTGCCGGTGCCGGTTGGGGTTGAACTCGTTCTGCAGGTCCCACTCGCTGATCTCGAACCTCTCCATCTCCACGCCGTCGTCCTCCGCCGCCGCCTCGCCGCCGCGCCCGTACAGGTGCGAGAGCGACATGGTGCCCGCGCGGAGCCGGGAGGCGCCGGAACGGCCGAGCGGAGCCGCAAACAGCCCGCTTCCGCTCGCCCTCCGGAGGCTTCCGGTGCTCCGCGAAGTCCCTGCGCCTGCGCGGGAGGTGGCCGCTCTCTCCTTCCCCGTCTCGCTGGCGCGGCGGGGCGGGGCGAGGGGCGGGGCCGGGAGCGTCGGTCTTGCTGGTGTTTGTTTCTCTTCGGTCGTTTACCTCCCGGGCCCGATCGCTTTGCCTCGGGGGAGCCCCCCGCCCCCCCGCCCCCCGCCGCTGCTCCCGGCCTCAAAGCCCCCCCGGGTGGGAGCAGGGGAGGAAGCGGTGCTCTCCCTGCGCTCTTAAAATCGGGCTGAGAAATAAGTTGAAAGCGTAGGTTTTGCGCTCTTTAAAACGAGGGGAAGCCCCTGAGCGTTGCCAGCGCAGATCCCGTGAAAGAAAAATCGGAGGTGGGGAATTGCGAAGCTGACCTTCCTGCGAGAAAGCAGAACAAGGAGAAAGGATGGCGGTGACCGGGAAGGCTCAGCCGGGGGTGGCGGTGCAAGGAAAAGAGCCCAGCGGCTCCTGCAGAAAGGAGGATCGCGAAGACTGGTGGGGGAGGGCCGGCACTTGGCTAAATAGCCGCCCCCGGTCCCAGGTGTGGGATCTCCCTCCAGAGTTTGTCCTAACCCTCCGTCTCTCCCCCCCCCTTTTTCTTTCCTGTTGGACTTTTAGGCCATCGGCCCCCAGGCTTTACCAGCCCCTTTTGCAGCTTTTAAGCAGGCCAAAGATGAATGGCAAAAACGGGTGGGGGCTGGGAATGGAAGTGGTGGGCAGCGCCACCCAATATTCATCCGCTTGCTGCCCAGAGAGGTCAGGAGAACCTGTTAGGGTGACAAGGGGCTCCCCTCGATCGAGCTCATGTCTCTCCCAGAAGACCCGACCAGAAAAGGCAGCCGTAGGGATGGGAGGAAAGATCCATGATCTGTAAGTGGAATCTTACAATTGCCAAGAAGATGGCCAGACCACCATCCGTCTCCCCCCCCAGCTCGCTCTCTCGTTTCTCTTCCTTGGAATGGTGCAAGTTAGCTTATTTCTATTTTTTTCCACACTTTGGGAAACAATTCCTACACAAATCAGCTATCAAAAAAGCTGCAACCTTCACAGGCCTCGCAGTGCCTCAGCTGAACCTGCCTGTCAAGAAAAGGCAGCACCCTTCCTCCTAAACTAGATAACCATAAGCTAATAGAACGCATCCACAAAATCCAGCTGCACCTTTGCGTGGTCCGTGCATGAGCTCTGGGGTCATTCAAGGGGCCAATCTTGTGCTGCTCCTCTGGGGTTATGTGGAGGCCACAAAGGTTGGCTCTGGCTTCATCCGTCACCCCCTTGATCATCAGAGGGCCCTTTTTTGAACAAAGCAGCATTTGCTGGCTGTGGTTTGGGGCTCTGCAATCCCGCCTCACTTGGGACGCAAAGAGATCGCTTGCTTCCTATTCCGTAACTGCATGCCAAGAAAACTATAGGAACATTCCCATTCTAGGGACTATCAAATAGTTACGATTGATATTTTAAAAGTATTAACTCGGTTAAAACAGGGTTTAACTGTTCTCTCACAAGAACAGAATCTGAGAGAGGCAATCTCATATATGTATATATATTTCGGAATTAATAAATAAATCTCTTTAATTTGGTAAATTACTGAGAAGAGAGAATTAAAGGAGACAAGTGCCGGTAAGGCCGAAAGCATTCTAAAGAGGATATACAAACAGCTAGTTGAGGTCTGCAAATTAGAGAACAAAAATTACAAGATGGTTTTACACAGAGCCTGAAAAACTTGTTCCGCAGACAAGTATAAAATCTTCTCCAATATTCTTTATATTTCCCTTTTTATGATGGCAGAGCAATGTCCAAACTTGGTACGTGACTTCCCAGAACTGGAAAGTCCAAACTTGACAAATTAATGGCAAAATGAAAAGTATTTCACAGATAACATTGATTTGGCAATATCAGTAGCAAGCAATATGCTTGGAAAACAGATTTCCACTGTCACTGCAAATTTTCTTCTCTTCAGAAAAAGGGGAAGCAATTTGCACCTAAATGAGAGCAAGGGGAAGAAAGCAGAATTACTCCTGGAGAACACCAAGGCAGCGAGCAAAATCAGGGTTTCCTCCTTTGCTGGGGATTCAGGGCTGAGAGGATGATGCCCTGGAGAGCATCAGGACAGCTTTGGTGCAGCCCCACCTGAGTTGGAGACAAGATCTGCTGGGACATGCCAAGATGTACCTGGAAATCGTTGAGTTGGTCAATGAAAAGCAGTCGTATTCAGAGTCCCCTGCAAAGATCAAACAGAAAGGGAGGGTCAGCTGCTTCAGAGCTATGCAGTTTCATTTTTGCATTGGTTGTCTGGGGTTTCTAGCTTTCCAAACAGGTCCAGATAGGAACAAAGTTGGTCAAAATATTTTAAGGGATGCATACTATTGAATTAGTTATTCCGGGCTGCAGGAAATTCGTATATCAAATAAATCTCAAAGTGATTTAAACTGTAGGAGTTATGTAGTGAGGAGATGCCTTTGCAACAGTCAGAAAAGAGTGACAGGGCAAAGCCACCACCAAGAGAAGACCGCGCTCCCTAACAAGATCATCTCAATGGGGCAGCATTTCATAGATGGGGACGTGCCTATTTTGGTATCCTTCCCTTGAAAATTATCCAGCAGCAGAATGAAAAGACATTTGGGGAGGGGACACTGGTAGACCCCAGGGAATTAGGCCTTGCTGAATTAGGAGCATTTCTGCAGCCTGGGAGAAGTGGAAGACGGAGGTGGAGAAACTGACCTGAAGGTGCCCCTTCAGATTGGCAGGTGTTTTGAAGTCCCCGTTCAGAACCTGGTAAAGAGGAGCACAGAGTCAGCCGTGTCAGCACAACTGGGCCCTGCAGCCCTTTGCTCAGCGAGACGATCAGCATCTCCCTGTCCCCTTTCAGTCAGAAGAAAGCCTGCTTCTCTAGTCCTGAGCCAGGAGGGTTGGCGGGGAGGGGCTTATAAAAATCCGGACAAAGGGACAAAGGCGCTAAGCAGGCCAGGGACTCTGTGGCACTCACCCGGTGGGTGTTGTTGATCACCAGGGGGTCCGGGCTGCCGTAGTTGGGAGGGTTTGCATAGGGGTCATAGCCCAGCCTGGCCAGCATAGGGGCAATCTGAGCCATATCCTGCACCACGTCCTCCGGAATGTGTCCCAGCCACTTGGTCAAGGCCTCCATGTTCACAGGCTTGATCACCTGGTCCGTGGATCGCTCGATCCTGTGCAGAGACCAGAAATGTGTGTGCATGTTGCACTTGGCTTTCCTTCAGATCAAGTCCAGCCTGAGAACTTGCAAGCTAAATCTGAAAGAACTTGGGAGGTTTAACTGCAGAACTGTCTCCCCTCCCGCCTGAAAATGTTTGGGGGGGGGGGAGCGCCCTGGTTGGGCACCCCAACCTTCAGGGGAATTCCAGGCCCTGAATTAGAACTGGCCCCAACCCAACCATGGGGTGATCCCCAACTGGCCCCTCACTTGGACAGGGAGACCCCGCCTGGCTTCCCAATCAGCTCCTCGTGGTGTAGGACGGCGTCGCTCCAGGCGATGTCCAGGAAGTCCATGATGGCCCGCATGGATTTCTGGGGGTGCAGAACCAGCTGCTCATAGTAGACGGGGAGGCAGCGCAGCCGCCCAATGGCCAGGCACTGGGAGTACATCACCTCAATCGCTTTGTTCCACTTGGCCAGGCAATCCCGGTAGCTCCGGAGGTCGAAGCCGGCGATGGTGACCTTCCTGGTGATCATGGAGTGGACAGAGGCCCGCCCGTCACGCACCATCAGCAGGAATTTGGAGTTGGGGAAGAGGTGAGAGAGGTAAATGGAGGACTTGAGCGTGAAGGGGTCCTTGTTGCAGAGGTAGCGGGCCGGCTCCCCGTGTTTGGCGATCACCTCCAAGATGAAGGCCTGCATGGCTGCATCCAGCACCTGGTCCGTTACCCCAGCTTCGTCCAGGCGCATCTTTTCTCGCCCGGATCGGGACCAGGCTTGGCGCATGGCCAGCACCCGCGGGATGATGCGCGTCTCTTCCCCGCAGCGCACCTCCGGGTGTGCATCCAGCATGGCTCGCATCAGGGTGGTCCCGCTCCGAGGAACCCCACCAATGAAGATGAGCGGCATCTCCTTACTGTAGCGATATTCGACTCGGTTGGAGTCCAGCATCACCAGCTCCTCACTCTCTGGACGCATCAGGGCCCGGTTGAGGCCCTGGCCCAGCATCTGCTGGCACTGCAGCATCTGCTGGCCCAGGTGGACGGAGACCATCAGGGCGATGGCGAAGCCCACCACCATCAGCAATCGTCTCACGGTCAGCCGCATCCTCGCCTCCTCCACATGGGACCAGCGGTTGCACCACCTTCAACATCTGGACACTGTGGGGACAATAACGGAAGGTGGCTTAAGCCTTTGCCACATCTGAGTCCCCTCTTGGCAGGTGGAGCCCGCCCTGTGGACGGAGGCCTCCCCATCTGCTTCCATGAAGAAGAGCATAGGGGAGCTCCACTGTCTTGCCCCGTGCCCCCCTCCCGCCACAGTTCTTCAGCAAGGCTTCCTTGAAAAGGTTTTCGTGCCAGGATTGCTGGGGAGGGCAGCCCAAGACGGACACAGCAAGGGCGTTCCGACCAATTTCGCCAAGCCTCCGTTTGCCCTCCTTCCCTTCCTGCTGGTCTTCCATGCTGATCAGCCTCCAGGCTTTTACCGGTTTCTTGCAGCTTTTGAAGGTGATCAAATATTAATAGCACAAAACAGGGGCCAGAGTGGGGGTGGGTGGGGGAATTGCAAGCAGGGCCATCAAATATTCATCCACCGCGGCTGAGAGATATCGGGGGAGTCTGTTAGGGTGACAAGGGGCTCACCTTCACTGCTGGTGGTCATTTTCCTGCTCGCTCGTTGCTCCCTCTCAGCCCAACAGCGAACCCGCAAATCAGGGAAATCCAGCCTGGGGAAGGAAAGCCCAGTCAGTCGGGTGCTTTGCAGGGGCCGCATCCTGCAGGAGAGCTCCCTGGCTTGGGTCCCAGGCCAGCTTCCTCTCTCCGAGGCAGAAGCCGCACCTGGTGCTGCTGGTCGCCCCGTGGGATCAGCTGGGCTTAAAGCTGCATTCCAGATCGAGCTGGAGGAGCGTCAACGCAGCAGCCTGTTTCGGGGACAAAGACCGAGCCTGTTGCCACGACAACAGACAGGCTGCCATGCTCCACCAAGCCAGGCAGCTGGGGAGCCCCACAGAGACGCCTCCCCCTTATCAAGGCCAGGTACAGACACACATGCGCACACACATGCACACACGCCTTGGGTGGCCTAGATAAAAGGTTGCACAATCGAGATCAAGATGGTGGTTCCTAGAGAAGGCGGCTGCTCGTTCAATTGCTGCATTGGGTAAACAGGAAACTTCTGTTCTACAGCATCCAAGGGCCTCTGCCGCTCAGCCGCATTCTCAGAAGAGCCCAAAGGTACCAACTGCACCATGGGGGGGGGGCGTTGAAGGGGGAGAGGGGTTTCTTAGGTTTGCCAAGTGGCAGGAGGAACATGCCAGACAGAGTCAGATCAGAGGCTTCTGGGTGACATGTAACACTCAAAACATTAACCTCACCTTGCAACATTTAAGGAATCAAGCAATACACCAGCATGTATTTGTTCCCCAGGAGTAACGGATCATTTTATCCAGTGTTTGAAGTGGAAGCATATTGAAAAAATAGAAGGGTGGGCAGAATCCTAACATTGAGCAACTGGCATCCAAAGATTGTTTCGGCTCCTCGGACTCCGTTTCTGACTCTCAGACCAGCTGGCTGAAAGTCCGGCTTGTGTTCAGACTCCCAGGCTCCCTGGGATAAGCGGAAGTGGAAAGTGCACCCCTCCGTAAAAGGCTGTCTAGGGAAGAGAGCCAAAACCAAGCGACACCCCTCAAGTGCAGCACCGGTTTGCTGAAGGCCTGCACAGCAAGTGCCACCTGTGGTGGCCGGACAGACTCCGCCCACAAAATGAAACACCTGGGATGCTTTAGAAACTGCTCCTACCCAGTGCTTCTGGCAAGAGAAGCCCAGAGGGAACGGGTCATTCTGCAAAGGCCACCAACTTTGGCCCTTGGTGGGCAGGCAGGCTGCCTTCATCGGGCGACTGACTGCAAGAGCAGCTCAGCTTGGGGGGGGGGGGGAGATGTCCTGACGTTGGGTCCCTCAACGTGGCAAAGCCCAGCAGGACACTCCTCAGTTCCGGCAAAAAGAGAGGCTCCCCTCATGGATTTACAACTGGCCAGAAACCCATCAGGATTCTAGAACCATCGATTTGGTTGCTAAGGGACTGTGAGCCACACAGCCGGCTGCACCACTATGATTCAGGCCGCTGGTTGCTCAGGCCACCCACACCTGCCAAAAAGCCTTGGGGAGCTCTTGTGATGTCAAGGAGGGCCTTTCCAGTTTGCCCCTTAAGCGCTGGAAGGAGTCTGTGCATGGCACAGTGCGTGGTGTGATGGGGGAGAAAATATTCTGAAATGTGGGCAGCAGGGCACACCCTCCCCTCCCCCCATCGAAGCCTGGGGGAAGTCTGGGGGTTCGGGTCTCTCTGTTCCAAGCCTTGCAAAATGAAGACAAACACCTCCTAAACTGTGGGCAGGTGGGAAAAGCACAGCCTGCGGTGGGAGAAAGCTGCTTGCCCAGTTGATCCCAGGTTCAGTAGCATTTACTAAGAGCTCCCACAGCCCTTAAACAGACAGGGTGCCCACTCAGCTGAAGGAGCTTCCCATCCAAGGGGAGGGAAGGAGAGCTCAAGGAGGCAAACGGATGCTGTTCTGCTGGGGAGCCCTGCCCTCCACTTTTGGCCCTTTCGAAGGGTGGAAAGGAGCTCAGGAAGCTGGGTGGCAGCCCTGGAGAGCCCCCAGAGAAGAAGAGGCAAGGAGGAGGATGTCTTGAAAACAGTACAGGCTCTCCCTCCGCCTGCAACAGGAAATCAAGAGCTACAGGCCTCGAGCAGCTGAGGAAGAGATAAAATTAGTTTCCTGTGCCAGTTACGAAACCACACTTGTGGGCTTTGGTCTTCAGTTTGACTCAGCGTTCCCTAAAACAGATCACTTCTCCTGCAAATGGCCCTCCAGTGTGGCTCACGGCTGTTTTCAGAGGTGCAGAAAAGGGACAAGAGCCTGGGCAGCCACTTTTGCATCTTAGCATCTGTGGCCAGGGCGAGCACAAGGCTCTCATTGACTCCTGAAGCCCCACGAAGACCTGGGGCTGAAGCCCATCTCTAGTGGGGATCAACTGCAGGGCTTGGGCAACCTTTTGATCTGTTATAAAGGACAGAAATGTTTCTAGGCACCAAATAAACATATTTTTCCTTCAAGGTTTTCTCCAACTGTTTTTGATCATGTGGGTCTTATGTAGGTTGTTCAAAAGCAGCTGGGGAGCGTGTGCATGCGCACACACACACACACACACAGACAGACAGACAAACAGAGGTAAGAGAGAAGGTGGAGGAAGGAAATGCTGCCCAGTTGGGCTGTTTTGGGGCAAACGGGATTTTCCAGCAATGGAAAGGACTGAAAACAGCAGTGGGTGGGTGAATGGTGGTGGAGGTTGGGAGGGGACCCAGAGGACTCCCCCTCTTGCCCAAAGGCAAAGCAACTCCTAGGGTCTGCTATGCTAACCAGGGGATGGCACCAGAGAAGAAAAGGGATACCTGACCCCCAACTCTCCAAGCCGGGCAAGGCCAAATCTCCCACTGGTCTAAAGTCTGCTGGCATGGAGGGTGGCGGGGGGGGGGGGGGGGGGGGAAGGGCGGATGTCCAAAACCAGTTTCTGGACGTCTCCTTTTAAGCAAACCAGATCCTGGTTGATGGGGGAGAGGGGATATTTGTCCTGCGGAAGGCGGACCCACCGAAGGAAGGAAGCCTCCAGAATCAGGAGCACTGTACCCCTGGGCCTTGGGTTCATCCCAGACAGAGGGCTACGGCCCTTTCGGAAGAAGAACTGAAGATGCGGAGGGGGGGAGGGGGCTGGAGGTGGATTCACAGAAGCTGTCGGGGGGGGGGGCAGATGGGAAGCCAGCTGTGTCGGGGAAGCAGCCGAGACCGAAGCGGGGAACCGGCCGAGACATCCGAGCGAGAACAGCGGCTCACCGGCGGGGTCGGGACAAAAGCTTTGCCGGAGCCGAGCGTCTCCCGGCCCTTGTCCGGGGAGAAGCGGGGCTCCCGGAGGCGCCAGCTGGCAGGGTACGCGGGCGGCGGGGCGGGCTGCGAAACGCCGGGCTACTCACCGCTCGAGCCGTGCCGGCGGCGGCGTCCCTTCGGCCAGGGAGAGCGCGGGCAGCCTCGGGGCGGCTTCGCTCCTCCCGCTGCCCGGCCGGCGCCGAGAGACGTCACGCGCACGGAGGAGGAGGAGGAGGAGGAGGAAGGCGGCCCGCCCCCCGCGGGGCCTCTCGGAGCAGCGGCGAGGCTGGGCTGGGCTGGCCCTCTGTCGGGCCGGGGCCGGAGCGCCTCAGCTGGTTGAGTCCGCCTGGCCGCCGCGAGGCTCTTGTGGTCCCGCCGGGCTCCGTGCGCGGCTACCCTTTTCGCGGGAACGCAAGCAAGCAAGCCGGCTAGGAAAGGTGGAGCTGCGCGGAAGGAGAAGCCCGTCCAGCTCGGCCCCGTCGCCCGAGAAGCGGCTCTGGCGATCCCGGCTCTTCCGCTCAGGCCGGCCGCACGGCAGCCCAAAGCGCCCGTCCCGGGGAAAGAAGCGACCCGGGAGCCGCGCCACTTTCAAGGTGGCCTTTTATTGTTGCGTGGCAAAGCCAGCGGGCTAGAAGGCGCCTTTGCGCGGATCCTCCACGGCGCGCTCCTTTTGCGCTCCAAAGCACGAGGAAGGCGGGGAGGAGGCGCCCTCCCAGGATCGGGCCCTCGAACTCCACGGCTCAAGCCCCGCAGAGAGCCGGCCGCCCCCCCCCCCCCCGCCGCCCCCCGTGCCCCCCGCGGAGCGCGACGCCTCGCTTCTGGGTTTTCAGAGGCAAGGGGCGACCCTCTCGCTAAGGAACTACATTCCCCACAATGCCCCACGTGCGGCCCCGAAGGTGGCTGGGGCCCAAATCAGCGGTGGGCGAGGTCCGGGGGACTCCCTCGTCCCCTCCGCGCTGCCGCCGAAGCATCCTGGGAGTTGAAGTCCAAGCTTGGTGCCTCCCGGCTGGGCGTCACGGGCGTGTCTGGACGGCGACCCCAGCCGCGATGCGCAAGCTGCCCTCGGGGGTCACCCCCGCCCTGCGCTGCCCAGGCGAGCAGCTGCCCCCGGCCCGCCTCCCGTCGTCCCGAGGAAAGTGGCGGTCCTGCCTTCCCTCGGCTCTTCGCCTTCCTCTTCTCACCCGCCGCGGAAAGAGCCCCTTCGCGGGCTGGCATCGCTGCCGGGGCCCTCCACGCACCGCCCGCGACGCTCGCTCGCTCTCTCTCGCCCCTCCGGAAGCCCGCGAAGCCGAACCGCCCCAGCTAGTCCGAGCCCTCGGTCGTCAATGACCTGCCCCCCGGCGGGCGTTCGCGGTCTCGGAGCTGTAACGGGGGACCCCGTCCGGCTCTCCCCGCGGAGGAGGCTCCCTGGCTCGCAGCGCCGAGGAAGGGAAGGCCGCCGCGCAGGCACTTCGGGCGCCAGGTGGCGACTTCAGCAAGGAAATGGAGCGCCGGGCCGCCCCCCCCCCTCTCTCTCTGCTGGCCCGTCGCTTTGCCCGGTGGGGGCGCGGGCAGGAGGATTTCGGGCTTGGCGAGGGCGGCGCTGTCGCCCAGCAAACCGTTGCCCGCTTGACTTGGCCTCCGTTTATTCCCACCCGCCCCTGTGTTGCTGCTGCTGCTGCTACTTCCGCCAGTTGCCCCCACATACAGCCCCCCTCCATTCCCAGGCATTGCCCAGCGCAGGAAGGAGGTATGGGAGGAAAGCCAGGCTCGGGGGTGGGGGTGGGGGGGCAGCGCTGCCCCAAGGACCTCGCAGCCTTTTCTGGGCCCAGCCTGGCTTCACCTGCAGGTGCTGGGCAGAGCAATTGGTTTCCTGGGCATCTCCTCCCACTTAGGCCACCTTCCCTCTCTGTTCCTTGGGATGTCATTTTTGGAGGATTCTGGCCCCTTGGCAGGTTGTGGCTAGAATTTGAGGGAGGGGAAAGGACTCCTGTGGAACCCATTAAAGCAAAGCTTGCCGAATGCCAACTGGCCTACAGTCCCAGGAAAGAAGACTGAAGTCTGTCTCAACTGGTCCTCGGGCGGCTCCGGCAGCCTCTCAAGAGCCAGGAGAGGCGAAGGGGCTGCCCTGGAGCTGCCTGAAGACCAATTGAGGCAGTCTGAGAAACCAAATCAATGCCTCAGCAGTGCCCAAGGGGCCACTCTCCCAAGGCCCATGGTGGTGGTGGGGTTTTTTTTTGCCTGAGCTGCAGTTCACCCACAATAACTAGGGGTCAGCCTGGCTCTTAACCCCCAGCCTATGCCCATCGTCTTCCTCAGCCCTCATCATCTGTTCATTAATATCCCCTCCCCCAGCCAGCTGGTCATAATGAGATGCTAACTGGATTTTCTGTAATATCGGGTCAGGGAAGGCCAGGAAGTAAGGCTGCAGTCAGCGTATTGTTATTATCAATCAATAACCTATTTATTTTCCAACACTCCTATTAACCTCGGCCAGCCAATCACCATTTCAATTTGAAAAGGCTTTGCGAGACACACTGCTGAGTGGACAAGTCAGGCTGCGAAAGCAGTGGGCCTGATCCTGAAGGTGGCATGTGCCCGGAGCCTCTTCATGGGGGAGGGGCAGTTACTATCTGTTAACTCTGCATCCTTCTGCCTTTGCTGGGAGGAAACAGAAAATCCTCTTTGCAACTTGGCGTGTTCTGGTTCCCTCAGCCCACTCTGTCTGTGTGTGTCTGTGAAGAAAGCCTTGGGATCAGCATTTGCAGGAGGGAACCAGATGGCCAGCACAGTCCTGGCTCTCTCTGAGCAGGGCAGTCCTGACTATGCATCTGCAGTGGGGGATAAGCGCTGTGATTGGCTGAGGACCCTGGCTTGGCTGCCCTCCCTTTGCCAATCACAGCCGTCCTCAAAATGGGGTGGGTCTTCCTGGGCTCTAGGCTGCTCTGAGGTTCCCTCCCCATAACAGGCTAAGCCAGGAAAGATGCTGGCCCAGCTTGGCCCCTTGTGTCAGTCTGGCCCTCGGGCTGCAGTGCTGAGCAAGATCCGGCCTCTGTCCCGCCACAAAACTGACCAACCACCATCGCTCTCCTCAGCCTCCGGAATAAAAGGAGGACTGAAACGGGTGGGCATCGTCCTCCCAAGAGCCCTTGGAGGTGGGCCAGCCGGGTGAGTCATCAGGGTCTCTGGCCTCCTTGGAAGGGCCACTGCAATCCTTTCGCTCGGCTGTCCTTTATGAGGGGGAGGTAGATTGGCTGTGACCTGCTTCAAATCAAGTCACTGATTTGATCTATTTTGACACTTCAAATTGATCCAGAAAATTGTTTTGATTTGATTTTCCAACTCAATGCAGGGGGGAAAAAAGGCTTTTTGTGCATGTGATTTGATTTGATTTAACAATTTGACTCAATTCAGAGATTTGATCGAATTGGCTTCAAATTGAATCTCTGGATTAAACCTTGGCCCAGCCCTATCAATGCCCATTTTTACAATTATTACTGATTCTGTACATAAGGGAACGTTTTTAAATGTATTAGCTAGCGGGGTTTCTGATTTCATGTTCTAGATTGTGAGATGATGTTCATCACAAGGCCTGGGGAGTGGGCTCCTCTGGCATGTTCCCCCTCCCCTCCTTTGGACCCCAGGGAGATAGGCGAGCCCCAGCCCCCCCCCCCCACTTGTCCTCCCTTTGCCCCATAAACACAAATCCTTTTATCGCAGCATCTCTTTGGTCGGTTTGCTCTTTGATTTAAGCTGCATCCCTCCCCTCCCTCTTGTTTTCATCAGACCTGACGTGCTCTATCTCCCGCCATTTATCTCCCCTCCAGTCTCTCCTCTCATTTCTTTGGTCCTGATCAATATGCTGGTTGGCTGGCCGGCTACGTGGAGGCTGTAGCCCTCCTCCCCTCTCCTCCCTTCCCCTCCCCCCAGGCGGCTGTAGTTTTTCTTGTGCGGTGTTTCTCGTTAAGCTTCCATCTCCACTTGTTCTTTTTCTCATTAGGGCTTTGCACAAGGCTAGCTGTATTTCTTCCAGGGCTGTTTTCCAGCTGCTCTCCAGGTCTCTGGCCATTCTCAAGAACAAGACTTTTAAAAGTTTCACTTAACTCAAGAGGACTCTGGAGCCTCTTCAGTGGAGATGGGAAGAAGTAAACGGCATGACATTTTGATTTTCCAGGGGGGAAAGGGGAGACCCTGGAATCCTTCCCAGCCATTTTTTTTCTCAAGCAAAAATAGGCCATGCAGAAAATTATTTTTTTATTCTTTTTGGTTTGTTTGCTTTTTCTCCCCAAATAATAAATTTAGAGAGACAAACAGCTTAGAGCGTTGTTGAACAAGGTTAGATTTTTTTTTCCCCTATAAAGAAAGAGAGACGTGTTCTGGGTTGTTTAAGCCTTCAGGTGCAGGAAGGTAAGAGAGCAAATCTTGCTCCTTTGCTTAACGTGTGTTCGTTCATGCAGCAGATTTGGGGATGTGGGCTGAGAATCCGGTCTGGTGCTGGGCTGAAGCCGCTGCCAGGACCCTGCCCGCTCCACCGCCTGGCCC